AAAAAAATGTAATTGAGTATTTCGAAAAATATTTTGAGAACAACCAATGGTCCACTCAACTTACCTACTGATGTGGTTTACGCCTTTATTGCAATGAAAATAATTAAAATTATTAGTAGCAGGAAGAACCCCATTATGATATAGAGTACTAGGATGAAACTTTGAAACTCTACATTTTTCAGATATGGGGAAATCATAAAGTACCCAAAAAATGATTGAAATGACTCCGACCATGATTTCACCTTCCACAACGACAAAAACTATCATAATCACCAAAATATGTATACTTCATCACTGAAGGCAAAGTAAAAAACTTGGAAACTCTCAATCAAAACAAAAAAAATGTAAAGAAATAGCGGGAAGTTCTCTCCAGAAATTAAATAGTAGATAATTTCAAAAAGCAGATTCTTAAAAGAGTTTTACATCTTATCCAAAGCTGATTTATCATCATCAAATATAGAAACACCTTACATGTTTTATATTATTTATGATTTAAATATATAATAAATTAAACATTATCTTAAAATTATTTTTATATATTGAATCCCATTTATATACAAATCACTCCTTCATCTTCCGTTCAATTAGATGAAACTATTTATACTGTTTCAATTGTTTTCACTGTTATTTTGAAGATTAGTTATATTAGAAGAACTTTTAATAAAGAAAATAGTATAGTCATTTTTCATTTAAATATTATTAATCAAATTGTATGAATTAAGCAAATGATAACTTAAATACTTTTTATAGGCTTTTTTCAGATGGTTTTAAGGGTAATAATTTAATCTTTTAATGAATATTGGAAGTAGTCAGTCAAATCAAAATGTTTATTTATTATCTAATTATCACGAACTTAAGTATTTAGCTATATGGAATAATAATTCAAGTTTGTTATCAACTATTGTTGTTAATAAACTGTAGAATGTAAACTTCTTATATATATCTCATTAAATCAACATGAATTTCTATCTAAAACATAGAGACTGAGTCCAATAAATTCAATTTAGTTTTTTCCATTTCAAATCTGTATGATTTTTTTTTCTAATAAAAAAACATAATCTTCTATCTGTTATTCTCATCATTCCATTTAAGATCATTATATATCCCATCGTAAATAAAATTATAAGGTTTATTCAGCAAGTGATATATTATGGTATTATCTTTATCTCTACGATTTTTCTTATTATTTTGCCAAAAAGTCAAGTTAATTTGATGAGGTTTTTAGAGATTTTTAAAGTTCTTCTAAGAATGATAAATTTTAATAAAGGAATTAAACCAATCGAAAATTCATCTTAATAGATTTATTTAATAATATATGATTCTTTGCTAAATAACCACCATTCTATCAAAAGAATAGTTTAATAAATTCTTTGAAGATATTGTCTTTTCAGAAATGAGCAAATCAAAAAATACAGAATTTTAAATACCCTGAATTCCAACTTTTAAAAGTGTAATACTTTATGTTTGTTTAAGGACAACCCTGAAGATTTGGTCCATGAAAAATATCATTCCATCCAATTTGAATTAACATGTTAGGTAATTTAAAATAATTATCATTTATTAATATTCAAAGCTGATATGACCAATTTAACTCTACCTGAAGCATTGTCTACCCTTTGTCTATATTTATCCAATGATATTAATTTGCATTTTCCTTTCTTTGCTTTACAAGTGTAATCAAATCCATTTTTAAAACCATTTATATCTGGAATGTAAATAACAGTATCACAACCCTTGCTGGAATTGTATTTCAAGTTAAATTATTATTTTTTAAAATTGAACTTTGAATAATAAACTTTAGATCCACAAATTGATTAAGCATAAGGTCTAACCAAAGCCTCCATTTTATAACTCTATAGAGATCCATCTTGATTGAAAATCCCCTCATCATACATATTTGATGCAGTAGTAAAATCATTATATCCTTTATATTGCCAATAAGCCCAAGATTGCAAATAGTTATCTGCTTTATATAATAAACTATTGAGTATATCTTTGGCAAATGGTTCATTTGGTAATGCTCCGAATTCAGTTAGCATAGCTCCAGTTCCTAAATGGTTGATGTTCATTTTTTTTAAAGGATACATTAAGTTATATAACTGTTTGCAAAGGAAGGTTGAGACATTTTCTATAGAGTAATAACTATATATAAATACCAATTCCACAATAGAGATGATAACTCAAGACTTCTTTCTTTTGATATTTTTTGCCTCCTACGTTGTGTTTGAATCCTGCTCCCAAAACATCTGTGAAGTAAGGTTCAAAAAATACGAGTTTCTCAGTATCAGCTTCTCTAATGTATTTATTGATTATTTAATAGAATGGCATGATGAGATGCTTATTAGCCCATCCTGGCCAGACGTATTAAATTTTGCTTCTTTAATAATTACCAGAGGCAGGCTCATTCATAATTTCATATCCCAAAACATTCCATTCTCCTTTATGCAATTCAGCCACTCTTTTCCAGAAGAGTCCAAACATATCAGCTACACCATTTTCGTTTTTCAATATTGATTCTATATTCTTGCCAACATCTGAAGTCAAATAAAATTTGGCAAAGTTGTCCTATTTCAAACAGTCCTCAATCAATGGATATCCTTATTCATCCAATCTTAATTCAATAGTTTGAGGTGCTGGGAAATCTGTTTTAGTGACAGCCCAATCTGGGAACCCTTCTCCACAGAACTGTCTATTAAGTAAGTCTTAATGAGCATCGAGAATAACATAAATATTGTATTTGGCAGCTAATCTAACAATGTCTCTAATGTGCAGTAGATACTCTTCATTTACTTATCCTCTTTGGGGCATTCCAGCTTCGAAGGCTACATGCAATCGAATTACATTAAATCTATTGAGATTACATTTAATAATAAATACCCCAAATCAACCAAGAGTTGGCAATCCTCATCAGAAAATGATGTCATTACGTCAAAATGATCCGTTACTGGGAAGTATGGGGCAGGCTTGTAGACAACATTAAAGCCATGGAATATTCTGATTGCTCCATTCTAATAATTAATGTAGCAACTACTTCATCAACAAAGTTCCCATGTTTATTAATGTGAACTGATATTGCTATTCCAATAATACATAATAAAAATTTCATATTTAATTTAATATCCTTTAAATTCTAAATATAATTAAAAAAATCGTTAAAAAAAATAAATGGGCAACGAACCATCAGCTCCAAATGATAAGATTGATTTCTTAAGACCAGTTCAAAAGAAAGCACCCGAGCCAACCCAAATCAACAAAGTCTAGTAGAATGAATGGAGAATTGGATTGCAACATCCTCATCTCTTGTAAACTTTGGGTGGCCAACCTGAGGGAGATTAGTATCGATACTTTTTCGAATTCTGTTAAATCACTTTAGCATCTCTGCTGTAGGAACGATATGGAACTAAAAAGTACTTTCCTGAAGAAGACTTATAGGCATTGCTTTTGGGCATAAGCAGTGCTTTGAGTTTCTTGTAAGAGAAGGGACTGTCACATGGAGGTATATTAAACTCATATATCAATTAGACATTTGCACAACAGAAATATTCTTTGATTCAAACAGTTCAAGTTTCAAAGTTTTGGATTCAAATTTAATAAATGGAAGAGGAGCCTCTATTTAATAATTATTATCAGGAAAATTGAAATATCTTGCACCTGAAATATTACAAAACCCAACACAACCATTTTCCGAGTCGTAATTGAGTAAAAATGATGTTTGGTGTTTGGGCATGGTCATGTTGGAAGCAAGCACGCTCAAACAAAATGACAATCTCTATCAAAATGGCTTATAATTTAGATTGATCTCAGATAGAATTAACGAAGTAGCTTAAATTTACAATTTACAATATGCTGAGAATATTGCATTAATGCTCAATTTCAACCCAAATGAAAGGTTAGATCCAGTTAATCTATTTAATTATCTACTTGAATAACAAAGAACTGCAAATGAATAAGATCAGCAGGTTGTTTAACAATAGTAATATTAACAATTGCTTTAACAATAACAATTGTATTAACAATAATTATGTTAACAACAATAATAATAATAATAATAATAGTTATTATATTAATAATCCTAGTAGTAGTAGTAACTTACTTATCAATAGGCTTAGTAATCCCAATTATAACAATAACCAATATAATATTTACCTTAACAGGTTGAACAATAGAATTATCAATAATAATTAGTTTAACAACCATAATTACAACAAACCCAAGTTCCTCCCTAATACCTTCAGCAATAACAATAGTAGACAAACTAGCAACAATAATACAATACTCAATAAGCATAATACGCATAATAATAATAACAATAACAATATGCTTAGACTCAATAACCAAGACAAAACCACCATCAATCAAGACCATCCTAAGATTTCATGATGACTTAACCTGATATGAATCAAACTATGTAAGGAGGTGTTTCCAGAGAAAGAGTTCCCACCAAAATTATCAAGAAACTAGTCTATCCTGATGGAAGAGTTGAATATCAAGAGAAATCTCATTCTGCTTCCAGGATGGGTAATTTATTATTCTATTACTTTTAGCTTAATAACCCTAATAGTAGAAACCACAACAAATGATTCCCTAACAATAATAACCATAAGCTATGCCACAACAACAATAAATAATGGCATAACAATAATAGATGTTGTCTCAATAATAAATGATTTAATAATAGTATGCCTAGCAACCCTAATATAATCCATAGTTTTAATAATAATAATACTAGTAATAGCCTTAACCTCAATATTAATAGAGGTAGAATGTTCTTGGTAATATTGAAAACTAAATGTAAGTTGTTACTAATGAACAAAACATTACTAGGTTGAAATAAGAAATCGAACACTCTAAGACTCTAATTTAATAATATAACTAATAAAAACCATAAGTTCAAGCTGAATCAATAGAGGAGAGAATAAGAAAAGTTATTGCACAATCATAAGCTTTAAGAGAAAACTTTGCATGAATTATACCAATATATATATTATAAATTATCAGATAATGCTACCTAAATTAAATCAAAGTTCGTCAGTATAATAAGTGAAATCTCAAGAAGATTTCAGTTTGAATGAAGCCAAAAGACGTTAAAAACAACTTGAGTTGGAATAACAAAATGTTGAAAACAGAATCAAATAACTTGCTAAAGAGAATGAGAAACTGTCCAAAAAAGTATAAATGGCAGAGCAATTGGCTCTAGATGTTTATGCTTCTCGTCTTGCTCAGAAAATTAAAGTAATTGTTGATTTCTAAAAAAATACTTAGAAAGAACAGAAATTGCAATAATAATCTACTGTTGATCCATTGAAATACCAATAAACATAATATGAAAGAATGAATCTTAGGAAAATGAAATAAGAAGTAAAAGAAATGAAACATAATGATGCATAATTGATGAGAAAATCGATTAAATACGAATTGATGAGAACTAGTGAAGAGCAAGCTAAAAAAGCATAAAATAAGAAATTAAGAGCTGCTTTAATCAAGGAAGATGAGAAATTGTCCTAGGCAGTGATTCAGGAAAAATTGTTAGAGAAATAATAAAAAGTTAGATTATTATAAGAACTAGAAAAATAAAAGATTCTTATAGAAAATGAAAAATACGAATACTAAATCAAATAATTGGAAGCTAAAGAAATTAAATTAGTAGAAAAATTACAAGCCACACAACAGAGAGAATAGGATGTTAAATAAAAATTAATGGCAGCAACTAGACTGGCTCCTGAAGAATTTGATAGAACCTACTTGGGTAGTTAGTCAATTATTTGTGAAAAAGGGAATCATGTAAGATTATAAATATGAATAGGAAAAAACATAAGAAGAACAAAAGGAACAGTAAGAGGAACCAAAAAAAAAAGATGAAGATGAAAATAAAGAAGGATAATAAGGAACCTAAACTGATTGAATTGATTTATTATACGGATCGTCAGTATATTTTGAAAGAAAATTTTACTCCCGAAAATAACTTCAGATGTCCTAGATATCTATAATTTTTAAGAAAAACATTTCATAAAATTTACAAATATATCATCATTATATAATTCTTCCTCTACAAATAAAAGTTTTTCATTTATAACTAAACCCAAAAATAACTGCAAGAATTTACTTCAATTTTTATTCAAATAAAGCTTAATTTCTAACTGAGTAAAATAACTTTAAGTTGTACAGGAGTATATTTTTGATTAAAATTAATTTCATCTGAATAGAGAAAGGAAAATTAGCTCTATTCAAGTTAATACTTAAGATGAAATTTGATTTAATTACCTTGAATTAATATATTTCTGCAATATTGATCGAATTTATTATTATAAATTAAATGAGCTATTTTTTAGATCTTTTTTAGAATTATTTAATGATCAAAAATAGGAACTCAAATAACAACTTTAAGTATTATTACTATAATTTGTAATGATGGATAATTAAGTACAAGTTATAAAATAAAATGACTTAACAAAGAAATCCAATATTACTAATTAATGATAAAAAAATGAATACTAACTTCAATGATTTCGATGAACAAAATTCATTCGTGCAGTATTTTGATACAGTATTTAGCTTTGTTCATTAATATAATTTCAAATCATAAAATGTGATGATATTACCTTATTAATTTCAACCCTTATTTATCACTTTTATATATTACTAAATAATTCATCCGGTTCAAAATCATATTATAAATATATTTAATTGTAACTTGTTGGTCAAATTCTAATCATAAATAAGTTTATACCTATTTACTTAATATATTTTTTGAATCCAACATATAATAGATATATTCAGATGAGATAATTCTAAATCTGAATAAATTTTTTTCAATTCAAGTTTTATTTCAAATTTAATAAACGACTCAGCTTATTAATTGACATCTAATTAAAAAGTTAGATTCTCAAAATAACTAACACTTAGATAAAAATATTTAATAAATGAATAATTTCTAAGAACTAATAATAAAACAGAATTAGAGAATTCGTAAAGAACTCTATCAAAACCTCATTATTGTGGGATAATTTTTTTATACTCTTATATGGATTTTTATAGCTATATATATTTTGGGAGAATAAAGAGAGGACTTGCAATTTAAAATATTTTATTATTTTAGTTTACCAACTATTTCACTACAATTCGATATTGAGTAGGTCATCATATAAAGCGTAACGATATTATTTTCATTGGCTTTCTTTCTAGCAATATTATTTGGAGGAAATTAGAAATATTCAAAAAGGATTGTTGATTTCCTTTGGGATGCTTATCCAAATTTATGTTAAATCGTAATCATTCAAAATAGTGGGTATTGTCTACTAACTGATAAAATCAACTTTACATTGGGTGTCTTAAATATTTTAATGGCAATTGGGAATTCTCAAATAACCAGCCTATATTCATTTTAATAAAATCATACTCAAAAATTAATAAAATCTTATTTTGAAAGGAGCCTACATCCTCTGTGTTATTCAGTATTGGCATTATTCGCAGGTTTACAATTAAGCAGCTTCTACATATCCTACATATATTTAGGAACATAATTAATTTTCGACCTTTATTTTGGAATATTTTATTATGTGAAACCTCACATGCAATATTTAAATATTCAAACTTAAAGATTAGTTGTATTTGGCTCGTTTTTAAGATTCCCAGTGGTGCTGTTTCTATTTTATTATCAGGGCAATAGCATTTTATTTTTTTCATTATTTTCTCTTCCATTAATGATATAGATACATCTAATACTGTGGGACAACAGATTTATGAACCTAATACATAGAACGAGTAAGTTTTTCTAATACATATGTGTTGATAAGTTTAGTGGGAGGGACAATCAGATCGAATGTTATATAGCATATTATTTTGAAATTATTGATTATAAGAAGCCGTTTAACCGGGTTTTGATGCTGAGCATTTTTTGTAATCATATGAACATGTGTTAAAATCTCAAATGCTTTTGCTAAAATAGAAACTTTCACGAAAGAGTTAAAATAACAACCCAACTGACAATAGATGTAAAGGATATTCAATAGCAAATAAATTATGCAGTTGCAGAACAAGATATTTAAATGAGCTTTAAGGAGTTGATGTTGCTCTTCCTAGACAATTATATCAAGAATGTCAGATATACAACCCTGGGAGAGGCTTTGATTTTAAAGTTAAGCTTATATGAAATTTAAAGCTTCTAGCAGAGACTATTCTTAACAAAACTTAGGTTTTAATATCTAAAAATATATTATCATAAATTTCACCCTCAATTTTTAGAGAGATGGGCTACTTGTACATAGGTTACTGAAAAATTATAACTTTACATAGGGGAGAGCAATAAATTGAATTTTAATCTTTCCAAGTCACTGAAATATTTTCATTTGCTAGATTAAATACAAATAAATATATTTAGAGTTATAGAAGACAAAATACGTATATTGGAACTGTTGAAAAGGAACTATCAAAATGCAGTTCCTTTTCTTTTACATTAATCTACACAAAAATATTTTAATTAATGTGATGAACTCGAATAGTTAATAAAACAATTAATTGAGCTTAACGGAATTTCATTTGAAGTCAGAGGATTACAAGATGAATTTTATTCACAAATAAAGGTAGATTATGCTCATAAGAATATCCATAAAAAGTCAACTATTCCTTTCATAAACTAAAATTAAACAGCATTTGTAATCTGCGATTATGAAGGAGACCTTATAATTAAGGATTATTCTAATAATTTTATCTCAATGATTGATGTAAGTTCATAAATAAAGGGAAGTGCCATTGAGTCAATTGTTCCAGTTACGTTATAATAGTATCATAGAATGGCTATTGCTTAAATGGTCAGTACAGGCCAAACGAAATTGGTTAATAAGGAATAATACAGTTTAATGGTAAAATCAGAGAAATATATTTTGGAAGTGGATGCCTTACTAAGATTTGATTATAGATAATTAGAGTTATTGAGGTTCATTGGATTCATTCAATTGCGGGATAAGGACAGTATTTTAATACTTGCTAACGAGAAAGGCAAGATTGATTCATATTCTAGATCTGCTGGAGTATTACTTAAACTAGATGAAATTGATAGCAACCATCTGAATTATTTTTACTTATCTCCTTGTTTATTACAAGAGAAGATGGAATTTGAGTTTGATGGGTTTTTATTAGTTCCTAAGAGACATTTTAGGTCTGATATTTTGAGCTACATGAAATATTTTTTAGGATCTCCTGATGAATGTATTATATTCTTAGTTAATGGGTAACATCAAAAGAAATGTTACACTTCAGTTACAATCTAATTTTTGAAAGTGAATTCTTTTTATTAATTAAAGGAATTTGATTTTAAACTGATTGCTTTAGATATCATGATGAGATAGATTATGATCTTAAAATAAGTCAGTAAATCTCAATATATGATGCCATCAGAATCAGTTCGTAAAATATAAACGTTTAAAAAGACTTTTAAGTTTCAACAAACTCACACAATTGAATTAACTGAGGAAGAATATAATTTGATTTATGAAGATGATTCAGAAAGGGAAATCTAAGTTTAAAATAAAAATCAGTATATTCTTCCTGAATTCATCCCATCTTTAGATTCCATAAGAACCCAAAATGAAAAATTGCTTCTCACTTTTGAGTAGTGTCGAGACTACCAATATAATTTAAGTAAAGATAAATCTTTTGAATAATAATAAAAACTTGATACTTTGGAAGGATCCAAATCAGAGCAAGAAACATTAAGCAATCAAAAGAGGAATACTCATAAATTAATAGAAATTGAATTGAATGCTGCAGAAGATCAAAATATCGAAGAATAATTATAAATTATATTAGCTACTGTCAAAACTAGATAAACACGTAAAGAATTTCTGGAAATGAAAAATCAGATGAAAAATAAGCATAAAACTAGTACTTGGTATGGAAGTGGAAATCAATAAACTTAAAAAAAACTTGTTAGAAGCATAGTTCAATAATTCTAAAATTCTTCCTTGAATTCATTAATTTATATTAAAATAGCATCATGCTTTTTAGTTTTAATAAACGTTGGATTTATTCTTGGATTCGTAATCAATAGTATAATCAACATAGCTGGAATATAAATGGATTCAAACAATCAAACTTATCCTCTCATATTATTTCAAGATATCAATTTGGTATTATTAGGTATTCAACTTGATGATTGGAATTAATCTTATTATGAGATAGCACAATCTTTTAGAATCTTAGGAGCTGAATAATACTAAAATTTAAGTATTTATGTTAACGATGTTGAATTGGACTATCACACATTTCTGTAAGAACTTGATAAATAAACCATTATAGTTTAAGAAAATGGACTTCCAATTACCTATTTTACAAAATACTTTCTAAAAAATTATATGGTTGAAAAACTTAGAACAATTGAAGAAGCTGCATCTGTTCCTGTGTTTGGAGAGGAAAGTCAATTTCTATTTGATAATTATCCTGAATTAGCAAATCAATTATGGAATTTGAAAAATAAAACTACAAGAGATGTAGTTGAACGAATAGATGAATTAAATTTAATGTCATAACTATTGCTGATCCTCTCGATCATATGTAATCTAATAGCAATACTAATCTATATAGCATTTCTAATTAGTGTTATTTAGTGGAGGAATTAGCTATATACAACATTATTCCTATTTAACAATGTTTAAACGTTGATTACTTAATTATCAGATTCAATAAATCGTTAGTTCCTCTAAGTTTCAGGGACAAGAGGAGATGATGAAGAAAAAAATAAGAAAATTAAGTTAATATGGTAGATTTATGGAATTCTAACTTTTTTTCTTCTATTGATCATCTCTTTAGGTGTGTACATACCACTGTTCCTGTATATTGATTCTGTCAATTTATAATCTATCGATGTTAATTAACTTCAAACTGAACTCGCCATGATGCAATTGAAATAATCTGCTATTCTCACTTGGTATGCTATCAACCAAACCGAAAACAAGTATAATACTAATTTAGTCCATAACACTTCTATTATTCAATATGTGATTGACTAATGTACCCCCTCTGAATAATTTGTTCTATACGATCTTCCTTTTGATAGTAAATATGATTATTTTCCAGAAATTCAGCAGTATTCAACAATCTCGCTATGCAATTGTTCTTTATTACAAAATCAATTAAAGAATGGATATTATGGATTTTAATCTTATGTCTCTTAACATTTATTAGATTAAGAATAATTTGATGAAATCATGGATGCCTATAAAATTGTATTTGAATATCAAATCAAAAAAAAAACAGAATTTGACGATTACATGCAAGTTAGATTAAAAAATACTTAATTAACCTTATAAATCATCTTGGAGATAAGTGTGATAATTATCATTCTAATTTAAACATTGATTCTAATTTTAATCCATGGATAAATTATTAAAATAATTTAATCTGCTAAAACTATTATATACTTATTTCCTCCTTAAATTTTAGCAAACAACAAATATACTTTATAAGTATTAATCTAAAGTAGCAATTAATGATATAGTATTATTTTTATTTATTATTTATTTATCAATCTCTAAATTATATTATAAATTCAAGATTTCCTCATCCTTAAATTCAAAGAATATCATCCAAAAAGAATAAGAATATAACTTTAATTCATATTTATCTTTTGTTTTTATCTTTCTAATTTCAAAAAAGATCTACTTCTTAAAAAGTTCTAACAGAAGAATCAATAATTAATCATTTTTTAAATCTGAAGTTTATGAACAATATTCTGCATGAACATTAATTATCAGAATAAATGAATTATTATCTGTGAATTAATATCGCCCAAGGCATATATGTAAATCAATCTATAATATCTTTATTATATACAATCATTAGATGAATAAGTAAATATTAAATACAACTTAAACTTTATCTTCTAAATACAAAATTTTTAGTTTGAGCTCATTAAATTTATCAGATGCAGTGGTTAGAGACCTATCAATATTATTATAATTTCTGTTTTTAATTATTAAATAAATCTCATGATGAGAAATGGACTTGAATAGATTTGTAATTAGGCTACTAGTTTTTGGAAATCACAACTCTTTCTATAATCAAAACATGTTGAAGAGGCCTCTACGAATATTGGTTCAAATATCCTTGTGTATGACTCAATATTTGAAGTATCAGCTAAAAAAACTGAAGATTTTCTCTTTCCAGAAGCACAAAAATAAAACTAGATTAACGAAAAATGCGAAGAAGAATTTGTTTACCCTGAAATACAAAACTCTTAATAACTTTAACTTGAGGAGAATAGTCAAGAGGAGAATAGTCAAGAGGAGAAGGATAGTTTTTCTTGTGCTGAGAGTTAAAATAGGAAAAAAGAAAAGAAAAAATCAAGAACTCGATCAAAAAAATCAAGTAAACATTTATTTAAATTATAAGCTAAATAAAGACTAACTATAAGTCAAGAAGCCTTCATTTTGGAGCAAACTAGAAAGGGAACTAATCCTGCAGATATTGCTCTATAAATCCCCAGTGCAGCATTCAATTAAATTAAGAATCGCTTGATGAAAAAACTAAAATATTTGAGTTAAAATAACGAATTTTCATGCTAAAATATTGCTGATCTGATTGAGAGGATATAAATACTATAACAGTAATGAAAATAATTAAAGTTAGAGAGGAAGACATAGATAACACTACGAAAATAGAAGAGTTAAGATAGCATATCCAAACAATTGAGAACCACTTGAATTCAACAAAGAAGCTGATCTTATAAAAATATATGATTTTATATCAACAAGAGCAATGAAGAGATTTACTTTATTCAAAATCATCAATAAAATTGAATTTGAGTATTATTCAAATCTCATACTATAATTAGTTTAAAAATACAAAATAATTCATAAATAAAATAATATAAAATTATTGCAATTATATTATTTATGTTAGAGTTTTTCAAAAGCAATAATTATAAGAAAAAACTAATTTTGCTTTATTTATCTATTTAAAATAATAATGGAATGATGATAATTCACGTAATTTAATAAAAGAACAGTTTGATTAAAGATATAACTAATATTCATTCTTGAAAAATGGATAAAATTAAGAATAAAAATATTTATAGATTCTTCAATATGTAACATCGAGAAATATATGAAATTAAAAAATAAATTATAAGTTCGGTGCCCAACTAGAAAATAGGAATCAAAGATCCTTTTGAAAGTACTCAATTGACTAAATACTTATATTTCGACCTTACAAGAAATCCTATTTTCGATGAAGCCCTTTATGAAATTAATGAAGCTTAGAGGCTAAATCACTCTAAAAAAACAAATACTTTTTGATAGGTGAGTTCTCGGTAAAAAAAGATTAATTGTAATAAGTATAAGACGGATACAGAGAGTTATTAAACTCAATCCTCGAATAGCAGATGCTTATTTTAACAGATGCATTTTAGCACTTATTTTTAGGAAAAGAAAATTTAAAATTTCACACTTAATCAACTACATCGAAAGTTTACTGAGTGTGTTTATCTAAATGGTATATTATTTGCAAAAATAGCCAATTTATGAAAAATAGAAAGCTTATAAGAAGCAGCTTTAACAAAGCATGAGGATGGTGTATTCGAATGAAATTAGACAGTAGAAATAAGGTCTACTTCCACTGACGCTTTTTTAAAAGAACAGAATTGTTGTTAGGTATGAATAGGAATTCAGACGTTTTGGAAAATTACAATAAATCAGTGAAGTTGATCCTACAAGAGCTTAATCTTATGAACAAAGAGGTATTTTATTATCTTTAGGAAAGGTAACATTATACAATAAATGGAGATTTATGAAGAGGTGTTTTTAAATTTCAATGAAGTAATTCAATTAAATTCAAATTTTGCTAATAATTATGAGAATAGAGGTCATAAATTATTCTATCCAAAGGTTTGTTATTTAAGTTTTCAAAGCTTACAAGAATAGACCTTTTTCAGCCAATTTGCTTCAAAAAAATTAATTAAAATGGTAAAGCCTTAAGTGACTACACTAAAATCTTAGAATTAAACTCAAAATATGTTTATATTTAAAGAGGTAAAATTCATTTAAATAGAGCTAATTGCTATAATTATAAGCTGAATAAAATTACATAAAAGTAATTAAATTAATTTCGACCAAATCGAGAATTATTGCAAACGAGGTTAGGAATTATTAATATGAAAGCTAATCTGTGTAAATAGTTAGGCTAGATGATTTAGTAAATGAAAGATTATTATAAACTTTTGAAGATTAATCCAAAAATTCAAATTGTTATTGAAATAAAGGGATTGATTTTCTTTATGGAGGCCATCAAAGAATTTAAATTATAATATTAATGTTGATATAAATAGCTATGAACGGCCTCTTGGGATAACAAAATTCATACTTGTAGGACAATAGTGTTTGAATATTTCTCTGTGATTGAAGAGTTCGTAATACAATGGACATATCATCCTTTCTTCGAAGGATAATCCTACCATTCTTTCATATTTATCAAAGATAACATCTTCTATCTGAATATGATCTTTGACTAGCCCTTCTATTTACTAAAGTCGCCATTTTCCATTTCAGTAAATTTAAATCTTCTTATATTTCCATCTTAATTTTCATCATCAAAGTCACTCTACTAATCACAATGCCTTGCTAGTCTTATGCTAAAACACATAAGCTAACTTTAAATTTTATATATTTTTATTGATTTTAAATAAATTAAAATTTTAAGAATTTCTCAGTATTTCTTATTTAAATGTATAATTTATTTTTAAATGTCTATTGTCTCATACTTAAAGAAATTTGGATGTATGTCTTTTTTATTAATAAAATTATTAATTAAGAAATGCTTTAAGTACCTTGTTATAAACACGAAGGATAATATTTATTGTTTTTTCTACCAGAATAAGAGATAACTTAATACTTTTGTGATATCTGCCTTCTCTCATTGTAAGAAAATCCAAATTTAGAAAAATTTTAAAAGCTAATTCATATCAATAAAGTAAAATTGAATTTCATTAGGCATTAAAATAACCTGAATATCTAATTACTAAATTGGATATCGACAAATAGTTATATAATTATTTTACTGAGTTCAGTAAATAAGATGATTTTGCTTTAATTACCGAACTTAAGGAGATTGAATAAAAGATCCAAGAAATGCATAAAACCTTAGCAAACTTGTTTTAGGAACTTTAATTATTTATAAAGGCTAGGGAAGATCTGAAATAAAAAATAAGAGATGATTTAAATTAGGTAATTAGTATATATTATCGAGATCGTTAAAATTGACCAATTGAAGGAAATAATAATAAGTTTGAATTAGTTAGGCGATACTGTCAATCCATAAGCTATTGAAATGAGTGAGTAGAACTTACATTAATATATAAAAAATTTAATTTAAAATAATGGAGCCTATTTAAATGAGAAACTTTTTATTGCTTTGGATTAAAAGTAAAATCTTAAAAATTTGAAGATTGAGAGATTTTCAGAATTTCAAAAATTTACTGAATTATATCATCAAATTTCAGATTAACATTTTAGATTAAATAAATTGGTATCACTAAATCTTGAAACCAAAATAAATTGTAAACTACTAAAATAATAATTTTTCTAAAAAATACAAGATACCATTTAGAGCAAAACAGCTAAAAAATTATTATAGGCTTAACTGATTTTTTCAGGAACAAAAGAAAATTTAAATGGAAATTTATTTTTAACAAAAGTAATTGGTAAAAGCAATTTGTTATTTGTTTTTAAATCCAGCAGTTAGAATATATTTGGAGCTTATACTCCTTGCAAATGGATTAAGATAGATTCTAACTATTAATATATTCAAGATGATTAATGCTCTTCCTTTATATTTTCATAAACCTAAGATTAAATTTATCCTTTGAAATAAGATTAAAAGTAATATGCCCTCTGCTGTCATTCAGGCTATCCAATAGCCTTTGGAGGTGGTCATGATATATCAATCAATTCTGATTTTTAAACTGGCTATTCCAAACTAGGATTTTCCTACAAATGGGACCAATATTAAGATGCCTCAAGCACTCATTTGTTTGGCTAAGATCAACCTAAAATTCAGGAATGTGAAGTCTTCGAAATAAAATTTATTTGAAATTTAAATGAACTAAATTTTATAAATCATCAATTAAACTAAATATTTTCTTTTAATTGCAATTGACTTTTCAAAGTAAATACAAAATGAAGAATTTTCAAATAAGTAGGTTTTGCCTTTCGATCTTAAATATCTTTAATTCTATTTAAAGCTCATTGAGTCAAAGAAATTTATTTTTAATTTTCTTATAAATCTTGATTTTTTTTTCTAATAAAATTTTCTTTCAATTCAATATCATGAAATAAATAATTCAATATATTTAAGTCATTCAAATGAACATCCTTGGTAAAGTAAATTATATCAAGATTGATCGCATAACTGATATTAAATTTATTGCTAAATTCCTTAAAAAGAAAGCTGTTTATCAAAAATGAAAATGTAAATTCGAATTCATAATAATTTTAATTGTATCATTTTCATAGTCCCAACAATTGATCCTCATTTTTGAATTCTTAGGCTCTATCAAATTTATCTTAATTCAATAATGAATTATCTGAAATTTTTGTGAATCAATACTTTTATTTTTTAATATTTCTTAATTTATTGATATTCGAAGAGCAGAATCGTAAGAACTTATAGCTTTATGATAATCTTTAATTTTATCTAATGCTAATCCTATAATTAATTTGGAAATTAGAAACCTTTTCTAAAATAATAATGCTGATTATAAGAATTTATATTGATTGCTTTATTATATGATTTTACAGCTTCAGGGTAATGTTCAACTTAATGTAATGTTTTTCCTAATATTTTATTATTGGTATTATTAATTTGTTACCTTTATAGTAGTAGGCCTTATCATTATGAAAATTTATTTATAGTGCTAAATCATAACATTCGATTGCTTATTCAAAAAGTTTCAAATAAGTTAGCGCATATCCTTTATTTGAGATAAATAAATACCTTTATTTAAGTATATGGCATCGTTTTGGGAATTTATTTTTAAAGCTTTGTTATAATGTGCAATTGCATCCTCAAAATTTTTTGATTTTGCTAGAGCATTTCCTTTGATTTCTTTGTTATAAAATACCTTTATAAAAGTAAGCGGATGCATTATCCTATTGTAAATTAATAACCTTATTATAATAAACAATAGCTTCCTCATAATTTTACATCAGATATAGGTCATTAGCTTAAGTAATTTTAAATTTATTACCTTAAGTTAAATATTGAGTTTATTTCTGAATGGTTTCTAAGTATGCTTAATTTTGGCTTTGGCTGGCTTACTTATAACTTAATTAACTAGTTAAATTACTCATCAATTTCAACATATATCAAGAGCATTACAACTGCTCCAATCAGGAAAAGATAAATATACATAATGCAGACTATGACGTGAAATATTGCAATGCACCATGAACTTCCTTTTGTAAGAAAGTTCATCATATACTCTAAATGTAGATATTACCAATTATACTTGTAAATTTCTATTTTTCATTAGTTAAGCAAATCCTCTTTATTAATTCTAAAGATTAAATTAGTTGTTCTATTTAATTTAGCTTATCCACTAAAAAAATTTATTAAAATTTACAATCATCTAGTTATCTATCTGGTTAATGTTCTTCTTTTAATATTAAGATTTATTAATTTGACAAAGAATTCAATTTTTTCTACTAAAATTGTCCTTAAATATTTCTTAAATCTTTTATTTGTTTTTCATAGGCATCAATCTAATGTCTGTTTAGTTGACTTAATTGAATTTATTTTTCTCTGATCTTGTCTAAATGGTCCTTTTTTTCTTTGATAGAAATTGATAAATCTTTGGTAATTTAACCAAATTATTTGCAGCTTTCGATATGATCCGAATGATCTTCTTCCAAACATCGCTAACAATAGATAGAAGTTTAAGGGCATTTTGTGNCTGATTATAAGAATTTATATTGATTGCTTTATTATATGATTTTACAGCTTCAGGGTAATGTTCAACTTAATGTAATGTTTTTCCTAATATTTTATTATTGGTATTATTAATTTGTTACCTTTATAGTAGTAGGCCTTATCATTATGAAAATTTATTTATAGTGCTAAATCATAACATTCGATTGCTTATTCAAAAAGTTTCAAATAAGTTAGCGCATATCCTTTATTTGAGATAAATAAATACCTTTATTTAAGTATATGGCATCGTTTTGGGAATTTATTTTTAAAGCTTTGTTATAATGTGCAATTGCATCCTCAAAATTTTTTGATTTTGCTAGAGCATTTCCTTTGATTTCTTTGTTATAAAATACCTTTATAAAAGTAAGCGGATGCATTATCCTATTGTAAATTAATAACCTTATTATAATAAACAATAGCTTCCTCATAATTTTACATCAGATATATCGTCGCTGTTTCCATCAATCTAATAGGTCATTAGCTTAAGTAATTTTAAATTTATTACCTTAAGTTAAATATTGAGTTTATTTCTGAATGGTTTCTAAGTATGCTTAATTTTGGCTTTGGCTGGCTTACTTATAACTTAATTAACTAGTTAAATTACTCATCAATTTCAACATATATCAAGAGCATTACAACTGCTCCAATCAGGAAAAGATAAATATACATAATGCAGACTATGACGTGAAATATTGCAATGCACCATGAACTTCCTTTTGTAAGAAAGTTCATCATATACTCTAAATGTAGATATTACCAATTATACTTGTAAATTTCTATTTTTCATTAGTTAAGCAAATCCTCTTTATTAATTCTAAAGATTAAATTAGTTGTTCTATTTAATTTAGCTTATCCACTAAAAAAATTTATTAAAATTTACAATCATCTAGTTATCTATCTGGTTAATGTTCTTCTTTTAATATTAAGATTTATTAATTTGACAAAGAATTCAATTTTTTCTACTAAAATTGTCCTTAAATATTTCTTAAATCTTTTATTTGTTTTTCATAGGCATCAATCTAATGTCTGTTTAGTTGACTTAATTGAATTTATTTTTCTCTGATCTTGTCTAAATGGTCCTTTTTTTCTTTGATAGAAATTGATAAATCTTTGGTAATTTAACCAAATTATTTGCAGCTTTCGATATGATCCGAATGATCTTCTTCCAAACATCGCTAACAATAGATAGAAGTTTAAGGGCATTTTGTGGAAACGCAAAATCCTATACAAATTTATGATTTGTGAAGTTGACAAATCTGAACTTTTGATGTATTAAACATTGAATTATAGAATAAATATAGAATTTATCATTCTAATCTAGAATATTTTTTTACATACGTGTAAGTTGTTTAAATCATCAATTTTTATAAATTAAGATAACCAAAACCTAATATTGAAAATATTAAATCAATATAATATATATAATCTATTAACAGATCTAATCATTTTGGATATATCAATCTCAAATGAATTTTTAAAAGGGTTAATGCAGCAAATTCATCCCTTTTGGTTGTAAAATATAAAAAAATGAACATCAAAAACAGAAAAATGAATTTAATTTCAAAATTGAAGTATTATTATTAAAAATAAAGATATTCAGAAATTCTTACTGTTCTCTTAATTTATTTCAGGTTCTTCAAATCATTTTTAGCTTATATCTCATAGAAATGTATTTATTAGTTTTTATTTGAATAAATCATTATTCATAAACATAAACAAAATTCTTAGTATTCTAAAGCCAACTTTTATAAACTTATTGATTTTCAGTCTTATTCTAAGATTCTCAGATAAATTTTTAATTGTAATCATTGCAGAGGATTAATTTATTTCATCATTTTTTATTAACTGATGCAACACTCATTTTTCATTTGTAAATTACTAATAAGGCCATCATGCTGAAAATTAGCATAGCTAACAAAAATTATAAGATTCTCAGTTTTAATAATTAAGAAATCTCTATTATTTGCTTTCTCATAATTTGAGTAGTGGCCATATTATTTTTTAATTATTTTTTAGGATATAATATACATAAAACCTAAGCAAAATAAAAAAGCTTGGGTGCTTTATTAAACTTCGCTCTAAATTGGAAACTAAGACTGAATTCAAATATCCTTATAGCCCTCCCGCAAAAAACCAATATTAGAATGTTTTATAAATAAACCAAGTTCATGATTATAGCCTTTATGATTCAATTCATAAGTCACCTTTATTTAATGCATTTATAGAAGATTGAAAGAATGTGGCAACAATACCTAAAAGTAGTTCACACAGCAACAAGCTAAAAATATTATAAATTTTATTATTATCTGCTATCTTATTAAGCTTGCGTTTTTAATCAATAATACTCCAATTTTCATATAGCTACATTAGCAAAAATTAGATCATTAACCAGAGGCAGAATTTTAATTGATAATAATTCCTTATGTTTTGATTTCTTAATTTTCATATTTGAAGGTAGTAAATTTTAAGCATGATTTTCTTTGCCATAAGAAGAGAAAAAGGCTTGTCGAAAAGTTATTATGACAGTCCTCCTAGATTTATCATTACAATAGGATGCTGAAGTAGCATCATCAGGAGAGCAAAAGACTGATTGAACCTTGCTAGTACGAATAACCAATTTATTTAACTCATGTATTTTATATTCTTCCTTTTAGAATTAAAAATTAATCACCATTCAAGTTCTTTCACTATAATTAAAATTATCAAAATTGAATCCTTTTAATTTGCATCTGACAAGCTTTCACAAATGAAAGAGGTATCCTAAGTTACTTTTATTATCATATCTTTTCTAATCTTAATTAAGCATTTCCACCTTTCAAATCGTTACTTTTTCGAGGTTTTAAAGATAAAAATCCTCAGTATTTCTCTTTTTTGATATTTTTTCCTCAAAATTATTAATACATATCCATATTCATAGGAATAACTTTTAACTTACCCAAAAACTAGTAAATTTTGACAACAGTTTTGGGTATTAAAAGAAACTATAGTAAAAAGAATGTATTTGTAATGCATTATTTATATTATTCAATTATATTATAATCCTAATGTGCTTTCTAAAGGGCAACTTCCTCTTGATTTAAATAATGGTCTTAAATCAATTCCTGATTAATTACTAAATTCTCCTTTAAACATTAAAGCATCTTAAGTTTATAATATAAGCTATTTTGAGATTAGAAGAATATTAATATTAGAAGAAGCTAAATATTTGTTGAAATAATAAATACCAATACATGGAAGAATGCTATTAGAAAAAACATCATGAGTATTATCTAATGTTTCTTTTTATTATCTATTCCTAATATCCCATAAACGAATAGAATTATCTGAACAACAAAAGGAGTATTGGCTACCACTACTAGATGCTAATATAGTACCATCAGGAGAGAAACAGACTGAATTCACACTACTAGTATGGCCATCTAATTTGGCTTTTTATTATCCTGTCTTAACATCCCATAAACGAATAGAATTATCTGAATTACAACAAGGGTATTCACTACCACTACTAGATACTAATGTAGTACCATCAGGAGAGAAGCAAACTGAATAAACAGTGCTAGTATGACCATCTAATTTGGTTTTATATTCACCTGTCATTACATCCCACAAAAGTATAGATGCATCATTACTACCAGATGCTAATGTTGTATTATCGGAGAAACATACTGACATTACAGAGCTAGTATGACCATTTAATTTGGCTTTTTATTCTCCTGTCTTAACATTCCATAAAAAAATTGAGGTATCAGAACTGCCAGATGCTAATATTGTACCATCAGGAGAGAAACAGATTGACATAACTTATTTAGTATGGCCATCTAATTTTGCTTTTTAAAATTGTGTCCTTACATCCCATAAACAGATAGACTTATCCCAACTACCTGATGCTAATGTTGTTCCATCAGGAGAGAAACAGAGTGACCACACTTTATCACTATGACCATTTAATTTACCCTTTTATTATCCTGTCTTAACATCCCATAAATTGATAGATTCGTCATTACTTCCAGATGCTATCATAGTGCCATCAGGCGCAAAACAGACTGAATTGACAGCCTTTGTATGAGCATCTAATCTGGCATTTTATTATCCTATTTCAATATCCCACAAACGGATTGAGTTATCATAACTACAGGATGATAATATGTTACTATTAGGAGAGAAACAAACTGAATTAACACCACTTGTATGACCATCTAATTTGGCTTTTTATTTTCTTGTCCTAATATCCCATAAACGGATAGAATTATCATCTCCATATAATACTCCACTACCAGATGCTAATATAGTGCCATCAGGAGAGAAACAAATTGAGTTAACTTAATCTCTATGACCAACTAATTTGACTTTTAATTATTCTGCCTTGACATCCCATAAAAAGATAAACGTATCCAAACTACCGGATGCTAAAATCGTTCCATCAGGAGAGAAACAAACAGACTAAACACTTTCAGTATGACCTAATAATCTGGAATTCAATTATTCAGTTTTTATATCCCATAAAAGGAGTTAAATGCCGCCAGATGCTAATGTTTTACCATCAGGAGAGAAGCAAACTGAAATAACTTCTATAAGATAGTCATATAATTTAGCTTTTTTTTTTTATTATCCTGTATTAACATCCCATAATAGGATATTATACTATTTGAAACCATCATCAATACAGCTATAAGATACTAATGTAGTACCATCAGGAGAGAACTAAACTGTCTGGATCTTGTTTTTGTGGCTGATTAATTTCAAGATTTATTTCCTTGTTTTGAGATTCCATATATATATAAATTCACAATCACCAAAAGCTAGTGTAATACTATTAGAGGAGAAGCAAACTGAATTAATCTTGCTTTTCCCTTTAAACAAAAACTTTATTTTTCCTGTTTTAACATCCCACAAATGAATTTATTTATGATTACCACTAGAAGCCAATGATCTACCATCTGGAGAGAAGCAAACTTAATTGTATCCATTGATATGACCATTTAACACCATCATCTCGTTTATTATTAGACTTTTCCATTTACAATTAAATAATTTGGCTCCATTTAAATTCATTCCACTAATAACTACATCATAAAATTCAGATCCACTTAAGTCACATCTCACAAAATTAGCCCCCATTAACGAAGTATTCCTAATTTTAATATTTTCAAATGATTATGCCTTCAAATTCACTTTCATTTCAACTACTAAATGAAGCGAATTTGATCCACACTAAATGTATCTCTCATCTAAGGCAGTAAGATGAACTAAAAATTTTAGAAATTCTATGATTCTCTTATCATAGGATATTTTTGTGATTAAATCTTATTTAATTTTTTCATATACATCTTATGAATAGTTTTGTTTATTAAAATCATGATTTTTAATTGATTACAGAGCCGCTGTTAATTTCTAAATGTTATTTTCCCCAACATATAGTTCCTATTCCTTATCAATCTATGTTAACTTTGCTACCTATATTGTATACTATTCAACTTTTCTTTGATTTTTCTTGTCTGAAAGAAATTATAAGGGGTCTTCAACCTTTGCTTTTTTAAGCATTTCAAAAATAACACTGAAAGATTTTTCATCTAAATCTGTTAATTAAGCTAAGACCTCATACATTCCCATAATATATAATTAAGTTAATATTTTTTTTATTACTTTATTAAAAAGTATCTACTATAAATTAGAAAAATCTGTAAGGAAGAAAACAAAGATTTTTGAGTTGGTTTCAATTGCAGTAAACTATAATAGACAAAATTTAGAATATTTTTAAGTAAAGCAATGGTACTAGAGTTGTTTATATATAATAATGAATAAATCAATTGACTTCTTCGAAGATTTAATAGATGCTTTATACTTTTATGATTTAATTCTTTAATCGATATATTCGTCAAATATTTTTTTGTGAAAATGATTAAATATAATATATAGAATTTAATGTTGAAATACTTGTTTATAAAGTAGGTATAAATAAGTATCAATGATTACAAAACCCTTTTAAAATGTTCAAAAGCAGCAATAAAATTATTGGTTGTTCAAGACTTGCATAAGGCTAACACCTAAATAAGCCAGTAATATGGTCAACCAAAGGACTATTATCCAGGACATACTTGTGTTGTTAGGGTTAGGTCAAAAAAGTGTTAGAAGGGCTAGGCTTTTGAAGGCTTGACTAAATTATATTTTTAAGCTATATTGCAGCATTAATAATTAAACATATTGGTTATTGAACATTATTATAAATTGAAATTTAATCATTTATCTATGCTTAATATTAACATTCTGCTTGATATAGAAAATTGAATAAATTATGTCTAACTAGATTTTTTCTACTCGAAGCCAATGAAAGAAAAAGTAAAAAATAATTGAAGTATTATAAATTAATATATGGAGATATATATTATTAATGGCTAAAGATCGACATAAAGGTATATAGAAAATAGCTTTGTAAAGATATCATAATCAATTAAATGTCCATAAAACAATTCTCAACATAATGGAAACTCAATCCCTTTAGCAGTGTGTGCTGTATGAGTATATCATAAAGTAACTAATGAAATTAAAAATAAACAATTTATAGTAACTTTTAGACCAATCTCTAGATTTTTATAATCTTCCTAAAATTTCTACAGAGAATTGGCTTAATACTTACAAAGAATATTACAAGATTTTATAAGACAACAGATTAATAAGACTTAAAAATTAATAACTTTTGCGATTTTAACTAAATTAAGTTAAAAGAAATTGTTTATATACCATTCAATTGTAAAAATAAAACTTCAGAATATAGTTTAGTACTCCTAGAAACTTCCAATATTAGTTAGTTACATTAATTAAAATTAATATAGAATCTAGTCTGAAAATATAAAATTATAAATGCCGACAGAATATTATGCAAGGAGCCATCCCCTGTGGCATTGCCGATTTGGAGAGGAATGCTACAAACAAATCCGAGGGGTTCATTCAACAAATCATTATAAATATACATTAATTATAAAATTCGGTTTGAGCATTATGAGTATTCTTAAATTCATAAAAACAAATATGGAACTGAATTCTTGTAAAACTTCAAATTTTAATAATTTTTCTAAATTTTGTAACTCAACATCGTTACTAAAATATAAAACAGTATCAAAAATATGAGTAGATACTATTATTCCATATAGTATCATCTTAGGGGTTGAATGAAGTCACAAAATAGCTGTCTTGCCAAAATAAGCCATCACATAACACAATAATGTAAATAGCAATTAGGAAAATGGTGTAAGCAATGGGTAAGAATAATCAATTAAGACCGATTACTTTATTAAAGGTTTCTCTGATGAGACATTAGTTTATCATTGATTTACTCAATATATTCTTTGCCTATTTGAATGGCTGATTGTCTTTTACAAATTAAAACAATCTTAAATAAAGGTTCCTTAAAATTAAGCCACCCAGAAGATGAGTAATTTTCTCAATCAAGTTAAGAAAATAAGAATCAACACACTAAATGAAAAAGGTATATTAAGTACACTACTTATTTCGTTTGAATAATAAAAATATTAATTACTCTGAAATATTTATAATCACTGTTAGTTCAATACCTAGCCTGTGCCATGATCTTTCTTCTTTCGATTTATAAAGAATTTAACCTAACTAGTAACTCTTGTTTATTTCCAAAATATTGATTTTGAAAAAATAATTTGGTACAAATTTTCAAGGTTTTGCAAAGGCTAAATTGAAATCTTTTATAGTATATCACAGAAACACTCTTATGTATCCATATTAATTCCTAAGAGTAAATAAAGTTTAAAAAAGTGAAGGATAAGATAATTGTTATAAAATTCAACCTAACCAAAATAGAATCTGAAATTGATGTTCTCCATTTAAAAGCAGTTGAATTTAAGAATAAAATAGATAAACGTAATTGAAGAGTAGTTGATTGAGATTTAACTCTTTATTTTATGTGATAGCATTATATTATATGAATCTAAATTATAATGTAAATAATATTTTATTCACAGTAAAAATAAAATTCAAGATTATGTTTTTAATAGACATTTAGCAAGAAAGCATCCATAAAAATAATTATCCTTTGAGGAAAATATTAGTTTGTTATGGAAATAATTTCCCACATTTTTAGGAGCAGTTACAATGCCCATCAAAATCCCAAATTCAGGGGTACTTTCCATCTTCTAAGATATTATATATTACATGCCAATTACAGTATTCAATAATATATACATTGTTTAAGTGCATTTTAAGTTTACTCTTTTCTTTTCCCTTAAAATCTTTAAACTTGAAGAGAACATCATTTCCCTTTCTAAGATCAGTGTTATTAGTTAACTTTAAATCTAAAATATTTTATAGAGTTGGTTAGGAATTTTTAAATCTTCATTCAACTTGTCAGTCCAATTGACAAGTTGTCGACTTCAGCCATAATTATTCCTTATTGGAGCTTAATTGAAATTAAAGAATGCTACATCTTTACATATTTTTGATCTTACAAATGATACCTTTTATAATTTCATTAACAAAATTCAATCTAAAATCTAATTTAGTTCCTCATGTTGCTAAAACTTTACCTTTTATATTATAGCCGGGCTGATTCAATTCTTTAGTTAGAGAAGTAATACCAACCATAGAAAATTGGTAAGGTGATATTGTTCTTAATCCATAACATAATAAAAGTAAATAATTAAAATTTAAATTCTCTTTTATAGACATTCTAAAAGGAGATTAAGATACTCTAAACTCTATTTGATAAACATCATTCCCATCAGAGCTAGAGGTTGAAACTCTAAATCGATAAAACTTTAGAATTCATAAAGGAAAACTCATGTAGATAGAGATTCTAAAATTCTCAAGATTACACAAAAATCTAAGTAATCAGCTCACAATTTGGCGAATTGCCTTATTATTTTAATAAATTAATAAACTAATTTGGCATCAGATAATATTATTTGCTCCTGATTATAGATAATCTACTTCAACTAATCACGACAACTAATTCTCTCTTTCATTCATTTTACCAATATCTCTTTTTCGGAATTTTTTTTAAATAAAACCATCATAATGATGATTTTTACTTTTACATAATAGATCTAGATTGCGATTATCTGCTTGGAAACATCTCTAAAAATTATTAAACATTTACTTGATCCTTTAATTACCATCTGATCCCAAATTACTTTTTGTGTGATCGCTTTTTTCAGAGATGAAAATAAGTAAGATTTTAAATTTTGTTTTATTTCTTTGATTTTTAAGAAGAAAAAGGTTTTCTGTTTCACATAATAAATTATTAATCAAACGAGTTTACTACCAATTTATGAATGTATAAGTGGAGGTTTTTGAATTTATCACTTGTTAAGATTCATAAAATTGAATTATGAATGGGTAGTTAATTGTCTTATTCAGCAATCCTTAATTCCTAAGCAAAGGTTTTCAACTAATTAGATAATTAAAAGAGGATTTGAACTTCAAAGTTTGATAATCCTGATATTGGGAAAATCAAAATGCAAGTTAAGCGATACATTAAAAACAAAGAATTTAAAATGTGCATATAAGCTAATAACTTTAAAAATTTTATTCTACTTTGTTGGATCATCACTTTTATTTCCTATATAATAAGATTTGGATAAATAGGAAAGGACAAGAGAAAAAATTATTAATTGGAGCTTTTTAGAAATGATAAATTTTTATCAGAGAGCGTTATCTGAATTGACCCGTAGGGTTTTAGTATCCTACCCACTATCATAGATGCAAGACTGATTATACATAGATGGGACCAATTCTCGAATAGGAATCCTGTTGTTTGGGAAGGTTAAAAGAATAAGATGAAGACTTTTCACTTAATAAAGGACGACATAGATGTCTACCACCATGTTCTATTACATAGAAGCCAGATAGATAATTTGGATGCTTTCTATAATGATCGGAATGCAGGCATGATATAGCTGATTCAATAAGACTGGTCACATTATAGCTAGCAAGGGGAAGAAAAAAGTTACTGACTACCAAAGAGAAGAATTTTAGTCGAAGCAGTTCAATAGAAAGCTCATAGATAAGAAATGTGTTTTTTTTTATTGAAATTAACAACCAAACCCAGAAATACGAAATAGTCGAACTTAAATTATAACCAATTGTTGAGGAGAAGATGTCTGACTAAGAATCCCAACGTAACAGAGAGACATTGAGGAAGCTGAGGGTTGACAGTTAGGTAACGGCTTTCGTGTAACCTCCGCTGTCTTAAAGGAATAGAGAGGTGGATGATATCAGAACCATTGAATAGGTTTTACATATAGCTTAAATAGTTGATGGAGGATTGGACGACTACCTTCTACCAAGGAAGATTTTCTCGGATGGGTTGTATAAGATCGCTGAGATGTTTGTGAAGAACAGCGACTTGANTTGAATTTATCACTTGTTAAGATTCATAAAATTGAATTATGAATGGGTAGTTAATTGTCTTATTCAGCAATCCTTAATTCCTAAGCAAAGGTTTTCAACTAATTAGATAATTAAAAGAGGATTTGAACTTCAAAGTTTGATAATCCTGATAACAATAAAAATTTTCCAAAAAGATTAAAGAAATAATCAATATTTAATTTTAACCTCATAAAGAGGGATTTCAATAAAATATCCAGTAAGAAAAAGCAAATGTATTAATTGGAGGTCAATGATAAATTCAATAGATAAGATTTAAAAATGTCTTATTTAAATACGATAAAGTTTATTCTTTATCGTTACTAGTAGCTTTATCTAATTTATTCAATAAGAAATAAGTTAATATTAAATCATAGTCCAATATTCCTTGTCCTTTCTTTAGAATTCCCATAAACTATAAATAATAATCTTTTCTTCAACTTTTCCAGTAGTTACAATGATGCAATTAGACTACTTTTGTAATGTAAATGAGCATTCTGATGAGTATAATTGGATTTAAATCTATTTTCGAAAATTGTATCAATTTCCCTATTAGGTAACTTCAAGGAGGGTTGATCTATAAAGGACACATAATATCTTGAATCTGACCTATCTAATATCCATCTGTTCCTCAATCAATAACTAATATGTGAAATGCTCAACATTCCTTGATCCATAATTATATTTTACTATCCAGCATCTGTAATCCATCTTTCATTCAGTTTTCTTTACATTTCTTCCTCAGAATAAAATATTGTTTAAATTGTCTTTCTCCTGGAGTCTTCCTATATTGTTTTTCTTTTTTTTGCTTTTGACTCTATTGTATCTTTTTTCAGGCGATTTAATTCTATAAATCCAGGACAAGGATTTTTCCATAAGTTTTGGAGCTACATCATAATATAAACATTCATGAGTGTTTTTTTTAATTAAGAATTTTGTGAATCTATTCTAGAATAAATTACATTTCTTACAAAAATATGTAGACGATTTATTCAGAGGTTTGGTAAACCCTTATTATTCAATCTTTTGTTATTTTTTATTGCTGTTAAATATTTGTATTCAACGGCAAAAATAATTTCAATTTGCTTCCAAGTTACTCACTTCACTCTAGATTTATCTATATTGTTTACTTTAATTCCTCTTTTTTGCAAATTCATAAATTTAGTCTATATCTTTTAGATTTATTTTGATGACTTAATTAAAAGTTCAATGAGAAAATTTCAATAATCTAAGAGAATATGAAGTTCCTTTTAATGTTTAGAAGAACTTATTGTCGTTTTTGTTGAAAAGTTGAGTGCTTTATTTTGACAATATGCAATGCACAAATCAGATCTCATTCATTATTAAATTGTAGGTTGCTTAAAACGAAGATTAATCATAGAAGTCATTAGGACATCAACTTTGGTAAAGGATACCTAAAGTTTAAAAGTCTAAAATTTTTACAGAGATACTTTTTCGAAATTAATCAATATCGGAAAGTCCTCCAATATATAAATTCTCATATTTTTATGATAAATATAGAAGCTATGTGAGATTAAGCCTTTTTATCCCTAAAAAATTCAATACATAGATATGGAAATACCACTTCTTAAGCATCATCTGTATATCTGGACTTTTTCTAAGTCTATTGAACCCATTTGATAATCAAAAGAATTTTTCGTTACACTTACTTTTGTTTTCTGTAAAAATCTCATCTTCTTCCAATTGGTCAATTTATTTTCTTTCCACTTGAAAACGTTTATTAGTAAAGTCCATTTATTTGAATTTAAATTTAGGGTTTAATGAAAGATCTTCCATAGCAATCGGTTTATTTTCCATTTGGAAAAGTATCTTAAATCATGTTAATTGTGTAATTAATTTAAGATGAGAATATTTTTCTCTATTGTGTATTTATGTAATCCTTTAATAGAGTATTTATAAATCAACTAAGTATTTAAAAATGAAATCATCAATATCCAAAAGTGAGTATTCTTAATATTGTGTATAATCAAATTTAGATAGTTCACTATGATACAGAATGGAACAGAGTTAAAATACTATTAAACTCTTAATTGCTGAGTGTTCCAACTTTTCTCTTTTTTTTTNACTACTTTTGTAATGTAAATGAGCATTCTGATGAGTATAATTGGATTTAAATCTATTTTCGAAAATTGTATCAATTTCCCTATTAGGTAACTTCAAGGAGGGTTGATCTATAAAGGACACATAATATCTTGAATCTGACCTATCTAATATCCATCTGTTCCTCAATCAATAACTAATATGTGAAATGCTCAACATTCCTTGATCCATAATTATATTTTACTATCCAGCATCTGTAATCCATCTTTCATTCAGTTTTCTTTACATTTCTTCCTCAGAATAAAATATTGTTTAAATTGTCTTTCTCCTGGAGTCTTCCTATATTGTTTTTCTTTTTTTTGCTTTTGACTCTATTGTATCTTTTTTCAGGCGATTTAATTCTATAAATCCAGGACAAGGATTTTTCCATAAGTTTTGGAGCTACATCATAATATAAACATTCATGAGTGTTTTTTTTAATTAAGAATTTTGTGAATCTATTCTAGAATAAATTACATTTCTTACAAAAATATGTAGACGATTTATTCAGAGGTTTGGTAAACCCTTATTATTCAATCTTTTGTTATTTTTTATTGCTGTTAAATATTTGTATTCAACGGCAAAAATAATTTCAATTTGCTTCCAAGTTACTCACTTCACTCTAGATTTATCTATATTGTTTACTTTAATTCCTCTTTTTTGCAAATTCATAAATTTAGTCTATATCTTTTAGATTTATTTTGATGACTTAATTAAAAGTTCAATGAGAAAATTTCAATAATCTAAGAGAATATGAAGTTCCTTTTAATGTTTAGAAGAACTTATTGTCGTTTTTGTTGAAAAGTTGAGTGCTTTATTTTGACAATATGCAATGCACAAATCAGATCTCATTCATTATTAAATTGTAGGTTGCTTAAAACGAAGATTAATCATAGAAGTCATTAGGACATCAACTTTGGTAAAGGATACCTAAAGTTTAAAAGTCTAAAATTTTTACAGAGATACTTTTTCGAAATTAATCAATATCGGAAAGTCCTCCAATATATAAATTCTCATATTTTTATGATAAATATAGAAGCTATGTGAGATTAAGCCTTTTTATCCCTAAAAAATTCAATACATAGATATGGAAATACCACTTCTTAAGCATCATCTGTATATCTGGACTTTTTCTAAGTCTATTGAACCCATTTGATAATCAAAAGAATTTTTCGTTACACTTACTTTTGTTTTCTGTAAAAATCTCATCTTCTTCCAATTGGTCAATTTATTTTCTTTCCACTTGAAAACGTTTATTAGTAAAGTCCATTTATTTGAATTTAAATTTAGGGTTTAATGAAAGATCTTCCATAGCAATCGGTTTATTTTCCATTTGGAAAAGTATCTTAAATCATGTTAATTGTGTAATTAATTTAAGATGAGAATATTTTTCTCTATTGTGTATTTATGTAATCCTTTAATAGAGTATTTATAAATCAACTAAGTATTTAAAAATGAAATCATCAATATCCAAAAGTGAGTATTCTTAATATTGTGTATAATCAAATTTAGATAGTTCACTATGATACAGAATGGAACAGAGTTAAAATACTATTAAACTCTTAATTGCTGAGTGTTCCAACTTTTCTCTTTTTTTTTTAATAAAAAGCTCAAATGTTTGTTTGGTTTTAATCTCTTATAGATTATTTATTCTTCAAATTGGTCTAAGTTTTTAATCAAAATTAAATTTAATTACAATAATCAAACATTTTTGAAATTCAAAAAAATTCAGTATGATGAAGTTGATTTTCATTAGAATATTGATTATCAATCAAATAATAACTTTTTAAGACTCATATAATCAATAATTATCGCAGTTAAGGATGTCATCTTTGTTTGATGACCTAAAATATGAATATCATAGATGTATAGTATTAATTTAAAAGATGTATTTGAAATAATCATTATTATTAGAATTCTATTTATTTTTCTTAATTATAACTCCCTCCTTTATAAATTAAGGCTCCCTATGATTAAAAGATTGGCTATTGTGATATTAGAAGGATGGTAATAAAAGAGGTAACTAAAAATTTGTGGAATAAATACCATTTCTTTGGAGAATGTTGTTTTAAATAATTTGATTAAGTGTATTTTTATAAAGACTATCTGAATCTAAGATTTTTTATCCTGTACTAGCATTCAAAAATCGTTTAGAATTATCTCCACTACCAGATGCTAATATGGTACCATCTGGGGAGAAACAAATTGAATTTACCCAACTTGAATGACCATCTAATGTGGCTTTCAAATAACCTTCCTTAATATTCCATAAATGAATATATTTATCATCACTACTAGATGCTAGGGTAGTACCATCAGGAGAGAAACAGATTGAATTTACAAATTTAGAATGACCAAATAATTAGGCTTTTTATTAACCTGTCTTAACATTCCATAAAAGAATAGATTGATCACTAACAGATGCTAATATAATACCATCAGGAGAAAAGCAGATTTAATTAACGCAATTTGAATGGCCAACTAATTTGGCTTTTTATTATCCTGTCTTCAAATCCCATAAACGAGCAGTTTTATCATCACTACCAGAGGCTAATATAGTACCATCAGGAGAGAAACAAATTGAGTTCACGCAATTTGAAAAACGAACTAATTTGGCTTTTTATTATCCTGCCTTAACATCCCATAAACGGATGGACTTATCATCACTGCCGGATGCCAATGTAGTTCCATCAGGAGAGAAGCAGACTGAATTCACCTAATTTGAATGACCTTCTAATCTAAACGTTGATTATCCTGTCTTAACATTCCATAAACTTATAGAGTTATCCTTACTACCAGATGCTATTTTAGTACCATCAGGAGAGAAGCAGATTGATATTACATAATTTGAATGACCATTTAATAAGGTCATTTTTCCTGTCCTAACATTCCATAAACTGATAGAGTTATCTCTACTATCAAATGGAAAGGTAGTACCATTTATATCATATTAATGACAATCTATTTGTACCATCAGGAGAGAAACAGATTGAATTAACTGCATATTAATGACCTATTAATTTGACTTTTTAGTTTGCTGTCTTAGTACCCCATAAAATGATTGATTTATCAAAACTACCAGAGGCTAAGATAGTACCATCAGGAGAGTATTTGATTGAATTAACCCAACTTTAATGACTTTTTAATTCGAACATCTATTATTCTGTCTTAGCATCCCATAAATGGATAGAGTTATCTCCACTACCAGATGCTATTATAGTACCATTAGGAGAGAAACAGATTGAATATACAGTTCCTGAATGACCATCTAATTTGGCTTTTTATGATCCTGTCCTAATATCCCATAAACGAATATAGTTATCATCACTACCTGATGCTAATGTAGTCCCATCAGGAGAGAAGCAGACTGAATTCACAGAATTCGAATGACCATCCAATGTCGTATTTAATTAGACTGCCTTAACATCCCATAAGCGGATATACTAATCATCACTTCCAGATGCTAATGTAGTCCCATCAGGAGAGAAACAGATTGAGCTTACAGATCCTGAATGACTATCCAATTTGGCTTATTATTATGCTGTTCTAAGATTCCATAAACGGATAGACTTATCTTCACTACCAGATGCTAATGTAATACCATCAGGTGAGAAGCAGACGGAATTAATCTAATTTTCATGGCCTTCTAATCTAAACATTAATTATCTTGTCTTAACATCCCATACACAAATCGAGTTATCATTACTATTAGATGCTATTTTAGTACCATCAGGAGTGAAACAAACTGAAGTTATATAATTTGAATCACCAGTTAATAAGGCCTTTTCATATCCTGTCTTAGCATCCCATAAACGGATGGAGTTATTTCCACTACTATATGCTATTGTAGTACCATCAGGAGATAAACATAATGATATTACATAATTTGAATGATCATTTAATAAGGTTCCTTTTTATCTTGTCTTAACATCCCATAAACGGATAGAGTTATCTGAACTAACAGATGCTAACTCAGTACGCTCAGAACAAAAATAGATTGAAGAAATAACGCCGCCATGACCAACTAATTTAAATATAATTTTTTACTAATTGAGAAGCATTCTGATTTTACCATATTCTCTCCTAATTATCTTCTTTATTTTCCCTGTTTTCATATCCCAAAAACGAATGGATTTATTATCACCCTAAGAAACTAATGACTTACCATCTGGAGAAAAGCAAACAGAATTGACCCTCTTACTATGATTATTTAACTTTATTTCCTCATTTATCCTTATACTTCTCCATTTACAATTAAATAATTTGGCTTAATTCAAATTCATTCCACTAATAATGACATTATAAAATTCAGATCCATTTAAGTTACATCTAACTAAATTTGCTCCTATTAAGGAAGTATTTCTAATTCTAACACCTTCAAAGCATTATTCCTTCAAATCAACTTTCATTAAAACTAATAAATGAAGAGAATTTGATCCACTCTATATATATCTCTAATCCAAGGCTGTGAGCTTAACTAAGTTTTTTAGAAATTCTAAGTTCTTCTTATCCGATTATATTTTTAGGATCAAATCTTATTTAATTTCTTCATATTCATCTAAAGAGTAATTTTTTTCATTAAATTCATGATCCTTAATTGTTTTGAGAATAGCTGTTATTCTCTTAATGTTATTAATTCCTACATTTATCTATTCATGACCCAATAGTGATGAATTTTCTGCTTATGATATTTAATATTCGGCTTGCCTATGATTTAAATTCTATGAGAGAAATTCTAGACAGTCTTAAATTTTTTCTCGTTTTAGTGTCTAAATGAGAATATGAAAGATTGGTTCATTAATTTCTTTGGATTAAGCCAAAAGCATATATAAGTCGTCATTGTAACATTTTAACACTTCATCCTCTTTTTTTTATAAATATTATTGATTTTCTATCACTTTATTTGATATCTATACTATAAAACAAAAAAAAGTTTATTATGTATAATTGTATATTTGCTACAAAAAATGCAAATATTCTAAAAATTTTGTGTTGAAGTAAATTATTGTTGTGATAATTCACATAAACTTATACATATTTTGTTTCTTCATAAATATAAAATAATTATATAAAACAAATTATTAACAAAATACCCACACAATCAACAAGATTTTTCAAGAAAGCTTCTAAACCATATTTCTATTGCATTAATAAATCGCATACTTTCTGATAAATAATGTTCTCATTTCCATATCCCCATAAAATCAACAATTCTTAAGGATATCTTTTGTCTTTTATAATAGGATACTACTTACTTCGTTTGTGTATATTAATCATAGGATGAGACCTATAAGATTATAAAAACCTTCACTTGATATAATCTTAACATTAAATTTAAACAACCATAACCTATAACCAGAATCAAGTCAAGGGATGTCTTTTTTTTACAAATATCATCTACATACCATCCCATTCAGTATAAAACCTCATACAGGACTAAATATACATGGCAAATATCAACCTATTTTTGAGATTACAGTTTTAGTAATTCAAAATGATTCTTTGCTTAATCCATAAAATTTTGGCTCTATCCTCTACTAAGAACCATAGTTAGGTAATTCTGAAATTAGCCTCCTCTAAAGATAGCCTAAGAGATATAATGCCCTAATTAGAAATATTAGTAGCGAATATAGACGTTTCAAGTAATACAAAAGCAGGATAGTGTAAGGTTTATGATAAAAGAAATTAAAAATAATTATTAATGAGACATTTATTTTAGTAGTTAAACTAGAAGAATTAGAGATTGAATATTTATTAATATAATGAAAAGGGGCAAATTTTCTTCACAAAAAAACAGAATCTAAAGATGACCTGGAAGCAAAATTCCTTCGATTTTACATTTGTCTAATGAGAAATATCAGATGACCTAATACTTTAACTGCCATGATCTAAACAGTATCACCTCCAAAGAATGAACTTTCAAATTCAAATATACCAAGGAATTCACTCTATTGTTTGAAAAAGGTACCAACAAAGGTTAAGCCTATATTAGGTAGAGAATGTTCCCTAAGATCTTTTTGAATCTTCAAAGAAGAATGCTATTTAAACAGGAGAAACCTATATCTCAAACTGCTCCATTATTTTTTCTGGAAAACTTTCTAATTAACGGTCAATGTGAAAAAACTAGCAAATTGATGATCTATTTTTACTTCCCTTTAGAGTACTACTATTAGCTAGCTTTTGTTTAAATATCTTATCTTTTTTGGAGTGTGTATTTCTAAAGATATTTTTTCTTCTTCTTAATATTCATATGTGTTAACTTGGTCATTGTCTATATTTAAAAAAAAATTATCTCATCCTTATTCAAATTCATACTTACTTTTATATTGCTATTTTAGAATTATGGCGTACTCCTTCTTGTATTTTTCTCCTTTTTCTCCTACTTAAAGGCTAAAAAAATTTGTCGAAATACTCTGAAAATTGTCTTTTCTCTGTCCTTGTTTTCGACTAAGACAAAAATATTCTATATAATAGCTAAGCTGTCATTAAAAATTTTCTCATCCAAGCAACTTCATTTTATCATGCTTCGTTTTAGAATTATAAATGGTTCAGTTTTTTTCTTATAAGCATCTTTAATTCTAACCCTACCTATATCACTTTAAATATTTGATTAATTTACAGACTTAGGGATTCAAACATTAAGATTTGCTACCACTTCAATAAGTAAAGGCTTCAATTAATGAGTGATGTCGGAGCTAGAAATATTCCTTTAACTTATTAATATCGCCATAATGAATTGTATATATCGTCTTGACCAAAGTTTTTTTTTGTTAATAAAATTTTTATTGATTGCAAAGAAAAATCATGCTTTTCTGATGGGATTGAATCCATTTTGCAATGTCTGTAAACAAAATATTTAGGTTTTTTCTCAAGTCAAAGGGTCTCCTTTACAATAATAATTTAACAGTATTAACTTAAATTGATATATACACAACTAATATTAAATAACGAATATTTTACGGCTAATTTTAAATTTAAAATCTAATCTCATGCATCAGAAAGTAAACCTTATTTTCTAAGCAGTTTCGAAAATGAGGATTAATATTATAAATGAAATTCTGAAAGGCAATAGAGTATGTACTAAATAAAGTAGATTTATATTTCTCAAAGAGAACTGAACTTTTAAATAGAATCCTTTTTTTTGCTCAAAAAAATACTATTTGATTAAACTGCCTTTCTTGAAAATCTAGTAAATATTCTTTTACAACCAACTCATGGTAAATTCATAAATTGTTCAGTGTCTGTTATATGGAAAATTTGGTTATTAATTGTGCAATTTAATATTCTTTTGTTTGCTAAAATTCTCCACTATATTTTTTTTAAAGCTTAAGTATTTCATTTTTGGGATTTAGAAGTTGCTCTGCTTTTGCAAGTAATAATTATCTCAAATAAATTATTAATAATTCAATGTGATTATTATTCATTATGTGCCTGCTTTGATTAGAACTTACTCCTGCCAATTATATCCCTCCAAATTATCAGCATAGTATTATTAGCAAATAACTGAAGGCAAATTCTATTATCTAATCAACTAGCATTGATAATTGCTGCCTCCATTTGATACTTGGAATTATTCTTGCAAGAAGTGTTATCAAAAGACTGCATTTATGCGGACAGCCACAATATTGGAGATTCTAAATTACACCCTAACTATTTCTTTTTATTCTAGACTATTGATCATCTCCTTCACGTATGTTGATAATGATAATTATTTACTTGGTAAAATAATACGAAAAAATGACTAATAATTAATCTCTAAACAATTTGTTCAATCAACCAAACATTCAAGATTGGATTGATGGGCAAATGATTCAACTTGCGTTTAATAATTGCTACTATTTGTTTACTTTATAGTATAACTAAAATCGAATGTGAAAAGAAGTTTTTTGACTAGAGTTTGAGGTGCATTTATACTATTTAAGTTGTGGCTGTTACGTCATGTGATTTAGTTGTGGTGTTGGAGGTTGCAGCTTTGAATTCTAGTCAATGCACTTGCTTATAAATGCTATCAATAGTAATGTTCAAAAGTCAAAGCACAATCTTAGTATTACACTTCTCCAATTCTGTCAATACTTTTTAGCATGTTTCTCCATCTACTCCTCAACTATTCTTATATTTTATTCACACTTAAATTAACCAAGCCGTCCTCCTTTATTACAAATATTAAGAAAATTGAGATCATTCCAACTTTATGTATCCCTGGAACATTATTGTGTTTTGCTTAACTAGTTATTATAGAAAATGCAACCTTGTTGTTCAGTCTCAGTCTTTATTAATGCTCACCAATAAAAGTCAAACACATCTTTATATTAACAATCTTCACAGGTAATGTATTTTCGGTAGAAATTCTTCTTGCTAAATGATAGAAGCTATAGATTTTTAAATTCTTCATAATCATCCATTGAGTAATTCTGTGTATTAAAGTCATGATCTATAACTTTTTTGAGGACATCTGTTATTATCTTAATGTTCTTTTCTCCATTAAGAGTCTATTCTTTCTCAAGCAGAGATTAGTTTTCTACATTCTAACTTTCTATTTCTAAACGGAATTTGTTTTGATCTTACGAGAGAAATTCTAGGCAGTCTTAAATTCTCTCCTTTTTCAATATGTTAACGAGGACAGGGAGAACTATTTCATCAACCTTTTTGGATAAGACCAAAACTTTATACAACTCTTTTTCACAATAAATTTTCTTTTTTTAGAATTAAAATTGAATTTCTATTATCATAGTTTAGTTTTATATTACAAACACTGTTTTGGAAGACATATCAGAATTAGAGCTTTGGAATTTGATATAAATTGTACCATAGAAACTCACATAACCTTGTGCATAATTGAATTTTTAAAATATAGAATAAAAAAATCATCACCAGCATCAGAAAACTCGCTTTTATGATTGATTCCTATATTCAATTTATTACTTTCATTAATTTAAATGTTTGGTATTGAATTATTGAAACTAACAGGATTAAACCTTAGGATTTATGACAAGTTTAAAGAGTGAAACATTTTTCTAAAGCAGATTTTTTTAAAAGTATAGTTTTAACTTAATCAAGCAAGTGTTTAAAATAACTCTCACCTTTATTTCTACAGGTAATAGATTATATTAATATATACATAAGTAAATATTAAAATTGAATTGAGATTGGATATTTAATTTTGCTTTTAAAAAAATGAATTTTGTTTCTATTTTTTAGCTCTTTTAAATTGAGATTCTGAGAAATTTTTAGAACGGTAATATCTGAAAAGGCTAATAATAGTGAAATAAAATAGACTTTATAGACTAACGTTATTTTAAATTTTTGAAGGCTAATATTCTGCTGAGATATCTTTATAATAATTATCAGTAGATACAATTTATTATCCTATCTAGGTCTTTCTTAAATTTTTTGATTGAATTTAGTAGGCATTTTAACTTAAAGAGTCTATTTCTTCATTTCTTCATAGTATTTGTTTTATTTCTCAAGAGTTGATTCTGAAAAATGATAATATATTTTATGATTAATATTAATAAATTTTCATCGTTTTTATAATTCCATTTCTTTCTCTAAAATGACACTTCCTCTTTGTTTTAATAATGTCTTCAAGTCGATGCCCGATCGATTAGTAAATTCTCCTCTCAAAATTAGAGCTCCTTAAGATTGAAATGTAAGCTATTGTGATATTAAAAGTATAGTGATAATAGATGAAACTAAATAATAATAGATAATTAATACCATTATTTTCAATCATGTTGTTTTTAAAAATTGGAGTTTAAAATTATGCTAAAATGATTTTATATCGATTATCTGACGAGACGATTTCTTCTCCTGTCTTAACATCCCATAAGCGAATAGAGTATTCTACACTACCAGATGCTAATGTAGTACCATCAGGAGAGGAACAAATTGAAAAAACCCTATCTGAATGACCATCTAATTTGGTTTTTTATTATCCTGTCTAAACATCCCATAAACGAATTTCTTATTAACTACCAGATGCTAATGTTGTACCATCAGGAGAGTAACAAATTGAATAAACATATGATGAATGACCATCTAATTTGGCTTTTTATTATCCTGTCTTAACATCCCATAAACGGATAGAGTTATCTGAACTACCAGATGCTAATGTAGTACCATCAGGAGAATAAAAAATTGAATTAACATATGATGAATGACCATCTAATTTGGCTTTTTATTATCCTGTCTTAACATCCCATAAACGGATAGACCTATCTGAACTACCAGATGCTAATGTACTACCATCAGGAGAGTAACAAATTGTTCTTACAGAATCTGAATGACCATCTAATTTGGCTTTTTATTATCCTGTCTTAACATCCCATAAACGGATAGAGTTATCTGCACTACCAGATGCTAATGTAGTACCATCAGGAGAGTAACAAATTGAATAAACTGCTTCAGAATGACCATCTAATTGGGCTTTTTATTATACTGTCTTAACATCCCATAAACGGATAGACTAATCTGCACTACCAGATGCTAATGTAGTTCCATCAGGAGAGAAACAAATTGAATAAACTGCATTTGAATGACCATCTAATTTGGCTTTTTATTATCCTGTCTTAACATCCCATAAACGGATAGAGTTATCTGCACTACCAGATGCTAATGTAGTACCATCAGGAGAGTAACAAATTGAATAAACTGCTTCAGAATGACCATCTAATTGGGCTTTTTATTATACTGTCTTAACATCCCATAAACGGATAGACTAATCTGCACTACCAGATGCTAATGTAGTTCCATCAGGAGAGAAACAAATTGAATAAACTGCATTTGAATGACCATCTAATTTGGCTTTTTATTATCCTGTCTTAACATCCCATAAACGGATAGAGTTATCTGCACTACCAGATGCTAATGTAGTACCATCAGGAGAGTAACAAATTGAATAAACTGCTTCAGAATGACCATCTAATTGGGCTTTTTATTATACTGTCTTAACATCCCATAAACGGATAGACTAATCTGCACTACCAGATGCTAATGTAGTTCCATCAGGAGAGAAACAAATTGAATAAACTGCATTTGAATGACCATCTAATTTGGCTTTTTATTATCCTGTCTTAACATCCCATAAACGGATAGAGTTATCTGCACTACCAGATGCTAATGTAGTACCATCAGGAGAGTAACAAACTGAAAAAACAATACTTGAATGACCATCTAATTTGGCTTTTTATTATCCTGTCTTAACATCCCATAAACGAATTTCTTATTAACTACCAGATGCTAATGTAGTACCATCAGGAGAGTAACAAATTGAATAAACTTTATCAGAATGACCATCTAATTTGGCTTTTTATTATCCTGTCTTAACATCCCATAAACGGATAGACTTATCTAAATTACCAGATGCTAATGTAGTACCATCAGGAGAGTAACAAATTGACTTAACTCTTTCAGAATGACCATCTAATTTGGCTTTTTATTATCCTGTCTTAACATCCCATAAACGGATAGACTTATCATAACTACCAGATGCTAATGTAGTACCATCAGGAGAGAAACAGACTGACAAAATCAAATCTGAATGACCATCTATTTTATTTAACTCATGTATTTTAATATTTTTCCATTTACAATTGAACAATTAAGCCTAATTCAAGTTGATTCCACTTATATCCACATTGTCAAATTCTGATCCATTGAAATTGCATCTTACAAAATTTCCACCAACCATAGAAGTATCTCTAATCCTTATATTCTCAAAGCTTTATTCTCTCAAATCCACTTTCATTTCTACCAATAAATTGAGTGCATTCGATCCGCTTTAGATAAATCTCTCATCAATGGCTGTCAGACTTACTAAAAATTTCAAAAATTCAATTATGAACTAATCATAAGATATTTATTTTATTAAGTCCTTTCTAATTTAATCATAGTTCTCAGTTGAATAATTCTTCTTATTAAAGTCTATTTCGCTAACATTTTAAATCATAGAAGCGATAAATTTCAAATCAGTTTAATTTTTAAAGAATTCTAAACAATTAGTTATTTTCTTATTTCTTAGCATCTAAAGTAGCTAATTAAGGTACTTTCCATCAAATTACTTATTCTAAGTTAATACATAATAAAAATCATCATTTCTGTAATAAATTTACTTTATTTCTTTTATATTTAATTGTATCTGTGAATGTGTAGAATATTCCTGGTTAATTTCACTTTCTTGATTTTGAATTAAATAATTTAAAGATTACAACACATCCTCGCATTTCTTGATTTCAGGAGAGTGATTAAATTGATCCAATTATTTCTATATTTTAATATTCCAATCTTCATTGCTTTTTTTTAAGCTTTGAATTATATTTCTTGAATCAATAACTGACTATTTCCTCTCGATTAATAAATCTAATTCTCCAAAAAAGCTGTATTATTATGCAAAATCAGCCAAATTAGAAATCCAATCTTTCGAAAGCCAAAGTAAATTATCAAGTAATCGTACTAATCTTGTTCTAAATGCATCAGCAACTTTCTAAAAATTTTCAACATATTCAATATGAGGTTTGATTATTGGCTGGTATTGTTTAATCCTATCCCATTGTTCTCTATCAAAGTTTTATTTAAGCAGTAGATATTCAACAATCTCAGCTTAATTTGGATTCTATTTGCTACAAGACTTACATAAAACTCTTTAATCATCCGATAATTTAGAGTCTAGAAGGACAGATTCAATTGGCTGTTTATGCTGTTTGCATAAAATTTCTTTTTCTATTACTTTTGGTTATAAATATTACATTAAAATTAAATAATTAAATAATTAATTTATATTATTCACTTTTATTTTGCTTCAAGATTAATCAAGATTAATTCTCTTTCATATCAATAATAAAAAATAAAATACCACCAGTAATATAAACTGAGAGAGATAATGCTATAGTTTGAATTTAAAGAAGTTTTATAAAGATTTCAAAATGATTTGTACTCGAAAATTGAGCAATTTGAGATCTTTAAAGTTTTTAATATGGTATCTGTTAGTGATAATCTTGAATGTCAAATTTTAACTAATTGGTAGAGTTATCAACAGTATATTTGAACCAAAATATAAAGATTAAAAAAATCAGTTCTAGTTCATTCCAATATAATTTAAAACGGCTGCATATTTTTAGTAAAACCTTCGTTTAAAATTAATTAAATAGATCTGTTTTTGGTAATAAATTCTCAAATAGCTTTCAAACCTAGATAGTTCTCTCCAATAATTAAAGAATTATTAAATTCAAATATATCTCAAATAAGTTAATAATGTCTTATCCTCTTTCAATAAGGTAATACTATAAAAAATCAATAATTTTCTCAATAATGAAATTTCTCATTTATCAATGAGAAAAGTTTTTAAACCAAGACTGTGAAATATTTAATAAAAATTTTTATCTTAATTAATTGATATTATTGAGAACATATTTATAAATAGGAAGGTAGTTGATAAAGTATCTTGGCTTAGATTTATTTTTTCAAAAATATATAAAATAAGCCTTAGGTTCCAAAATCATTGAACTTCTAAGTAAAAGCGGTTATATATCGAACTTACTTTTCCAGGAAATTAGGATATATGGTTATTGTAATGAACTAATAATATCCTCCTGAATATACGACCTTTATATAAATAAAATTTTTTTTTCATTTAATGCCTAATTGCTAGAAAAAACATATAACTGTTTCATTTGAAATTATTGTTGATAAAGCTAGTGTAAGAAATATTAATAAAAATAAATTTAAAATTAGCCTCATTCCTATTAAAAAGAAAAGTTATGAGAATGAACTTACCTTTTATAGAATCTATTTTTATAATAAAATTGCTACGAATTAATAATTCAAATGGAGAAATCTACATAAACTTTACAGTATAGTGCAAAAGAATTGCCAAAACTATTTATGCCTCTGATAATGAAAGAAAATTCCAGTATCTCAAAATAATTTCATTGGTCAAATTTGATATTAGAGTTTCTTAACTGTTTCATTTAAAATGCTTTAATTTCATTGTTACAATATCTCTTTTAAAATCTGAATGCCATGCTCTTTTTATTACAACCTCCTATTTGCACAGCTTCAAATCAACCTTTAAAATCTCCTGTTTTAATCTTAATGACCCAACAGTATAAATGAGAGAGTCCACCAAGTGTAATAGCTTTCGGTTTTAAGCTTAACCAGACAATAAAATGGTCTTCTATAAATTTTTCTTAAACTTGAGGATTTCTTATTTCTTATTTTTCTAAAGAAAAATTCATCCTAAAATACTATCTTACTTACCGAACTATAAATTTTCTAATTGAAAAAATTATAAAATCAAAAATGCTATAATATCAACCCACCAGTTAAATAGGATTCTAATAAATCGATTATTATAAATAAAAGTATTATGAATATACAGAATTAATTCAGCTTTGCACTCTTTATTAATTATGTGTTATTACTTCTATATTCATAAAGAATTAAGAGACACAAAATTATGTGAGTTCTCACTATTATTATTTACTTCTATTACAATCGACTTCAAACTTTTACAAAAAATGGTTAGTTGTGGTTTGAACAAAATTTGGAAACATTTTCTGATTTATAGCATAAAAGACAAATATAAAAATAAAAATGTTATATAATTAATAAAAGAATATGAGTTTTTAAAATGAGCAGAATGAAAATTTGTATGGAATCCTTTCCTTGTCTAAAGGCTTAGATGAAGAAATCTTCCATCGTGTAATATAAATAATTAAAAGAGAAAAAATTTATGACTGTCTAGAATTTTTCTCATAAGTTCAAAATCAATGGCAACTAGAAAACAAAATTTAAAAGGTAAAAAAATTTATCAATACTTGATAAGGAATTGATTTTAAACGTTGGTAGGAATAACATTTAGAGAATAGTGAATGTTCTAAAAAAAATTAAGGATCATAATTTTAATGAGCAGAATTACTCAGTAGAGGAGTATCAAGAAATCAAAGAACATCTGATCAAAAAAATAGCTTTCAATAAGAAGATCATAGGATTATTAAAATTTTTAGTTCATCTGACTGCCTTAGATTAAAGATACATTTAGTGTGGATCTAATTCTCTTCATTTGTTAGTTTAGATGAAGGTTGACTTGAAGAGATAATCTTTTGAAAATATTAGAATTAGAAATATTTCATTAATAGGGGCAAATTTTGTGAGATGTGATTTAAGTGGATCTGAATTTGACAATGTCATCATTAGTGGAATGAATTTGAATGGAGCTAAATTATTTAATAGTAAATGGAAAAATTTAAGAATAAATGAGTTAAAGAAGTTAAACGGTCATATTCGATATGTCAATTCAGTATGCTTTTCTGCAGATGGTAAGTCATGTGCTTCTTGCAGTGTTGATAAATCAATTCGTCTGTGGGTAGTGAAAACAGGAAAAATATAGTTTGTATCAAAAGGTAAGAGTTGGGTAAAATAAGTATGCTTTTCACCTAATAGCACTATATTAGCATCTTGCAGTGATTAAATTGTGTAGTTTTGGAATCTTAAAACAAAGAAATAAACATCAAAATTAATTGGTCATACAAAAAAGGTTAACTCAATAGATTTCTCTCCTAATGGTACTAAATTAGCATCTGGTGGAGAAGACATGTTTATCTGTCTATGGGATCTTAAGGGAGGATAATAAAAAACCAAATTAAATGGTCATTAATATTCAGTTCAATCAGTCAGATTTTCTCCTGATGGGACCACATTAGCATCTGGTGGTAATGATAAGTCTATCCTTTTATGGGATGTTAAGATAGGATAATAAAGAGCAAAATTAGATGGTCATACGAATTATGTTAATTCGGTTTGTTTCTCTCCTGATGGTACTACATTAGCTTCTGGTAGTTCAGATAACTATATCCGTTTATGGGATGTTAAAACAGGATAAGAAAAAGCCATATTAGATGGACATTAATATTCAGTTCAATCAGTCAGTTTCGCTCCTGATGGAATCACATTAGCATCTGGTAGTAATGATAAGTCTATCCGATTATGGGATGTTAAAACAGGATAATAAAAAGTCAAATTAGATGGTCATACTCATTCTATTCAATCAGTCTGTTTCTCTCCTGATGGTGCTACATTAGCATCTGGTGGTTGTGATAACTCTATCCGTTTATGGGATGCTAAAACAGAATACTAAAAAGCAAAATTAGATGGCCATACAAGTTATGTTAATTCTGTCTGTTTCTCTCCCGATGGTATTATATTAGCATCTGGTAGTGATGATAACCTTATCAGTTTATGGATTGTTGAGACAGGATATTTAAAAGCCAAATTAGATGGTCATAAGAGTTAGATTAATTCAATCTGCTTCTCTCCTAATGGTATTACATTAGCATCTGGTAGTGATGATAATACAATATGTTTATGGGATGTTGATAAAGGATAATAGCAAGCTAAATTCGATCATTAATAATTTTCAGTTCTATCAGTATGTTTCTCTCCTGACGGTATTACACTAGCATCAGGTAGTACAGATGGCCTCATTCGTTTATGGGATATCAATACTGGGTAATAAAAAGCCTAATTAGTCGGTCATTCAAATTCTATTCAATCAGTCTGTTTCTCTCCTGATGGCACTACAATAGCATCTGGTAGTAAAGATAGCTTCATCAATTTATGGGATATTAAGACAGAATTATAAACAGCAAAATTAGATGGTCATAGTAGTTATGTTAATTCAGTTTGTTTCTCTCCTGATGGTACTACATTAGCATCTGGTGGTTCAGATAATTATATCCGTTTGTGGGATGTTAAAACAGGATAATAAAAAGCCAAATTAGATGGACATTAATATTCTGTTCAATCAGTCAGATTCTCTCCTGATGGCACCACATTAGCATCTGGAAGTTATGATAAGTCTATCCGATTATGGGATGTTAAAACAGGATAATAAAAAGTCAAATTAGATGGTCATACTCATTCTATTCAATCAGTCTGTTTCTCTCCTGATGGTATGATAGTAGCATCCGGTAGTTATGATAACTCTATCAATTTATGGGATGTACAATGTGAACAACAAATATAAAATTCTGGTATTCTACAATTATATTAGCCCCAATAATTAAAAAACAACATTTATCTTAAAAGTGGTAGTATTATTTCTCTATTCTTTAGCTGCTAATATTAATATTCTTCTGATATCACAATAGCTAAAATTTTAATCATAAGGTGCCCTAATCTTATAAAGTGAATTTATTAATCATTTTGGTAGAGATTTAAAATATTTATTTTAAGAAAGAGGAGCTTGTTTCTTGGAAAACTATAGAGAATTTTTATAGAATCAAAGTTGATAATTAAGATATACAATAAATTTTAAATCACTTTTTTATTTTATTTATTCCAGAACTTGCCATTCAATCAGAATAAAGAAAATCAATTCATAAAAAAATTGGTTACAATAAAAATTTGTAAAATTACTCTTAATAATTTATTTTATATTTAATATTCATTTCTATTAGTTCTGCTTACAAAAATTCAATTGATTAATCTGATATTCTAAAATAGGTTTGATTTACCATAAAAATCTCCTAAAAATTTAATTAAAAGTTACCTTTTTGTTTGAGAGTAATGAGTGATTAGGGTAGATGGCGAGTGATTAATTCAGATATTTTAAAGAATCATCATAGTTCTTCAGTATTGTTAACTAAAATTTAAGTAATTCTACGTTTATCGCTTAATGATTCAAGAGTATTAGGATTAATGGCTAATGCTTTATCGAACTAAATAATTGAATCCTCATATTTATTTAACATTTTTAAATGAAATTAAGAAAGTAGTATTGTAAACATTAGGCTATTAATTTAAATAGAGTGAATTCTACCTTTAGAAACTAATTAATAAATATTTTTTGGATTAAGAGCTTATGCTTGATCAAAATAATAATAGCAAACTAGTATTTATTTAAAATTTATATATAGTTCTTTGGATTATTGTTTTTCATTATCATCAATTTAATAATTATTAATTGATAATATCGTGTTTATGTAGTTATTATTTATTCATATAAATTGTCAAATGAACGAGTTAACCTATTTATCTATGTTGTAAGTGATTATTTGCAGTCAAATAATTTGATTTTGAATTAAAAAAATCATTTACTTATTAAGTTTTCAATTAATTTTAAATATTTCTTTTTAATTCCTTTTGTTAAGAATATAAAGATGTATTTACAATTTCTAATGATGTCTCATGTTCATCAATCATATTGTCACAAGCTCTATTTATTTTGTTCGTACAAAATAGATTACAAAAAACAGTTTATATGTTTTTAATGATCATCTTTTTAACGCTTCACTTAAAGTTAGCTTTTTTAGCATTAGAAATGATAATCCCTATTATAAATTCGACCAACTATTTATCCAAATATCAGAATTATATAAAATTAAATCTGTCTTCAGATTAATATTTTAGAACAATTCACCAGAATCCCTCAGGAATTTATATTCCATTGTTTTTAATTTAATTAATAATATTGTTTCAGTAACTATGGCTTTTTTTTAAATTTATTTGAGATCTTTTTAGTCAATTTCAATAATTTGATTTTTTTCTAATTTAAAAAAAGCCTAACACATAATTGAATAAAATACATAGATGGCATCTTTTTGTACTGGAACAGAATGTATTTATAAAGGGAGTAAAATAATATTCTGAAATTAAAATGCACACTATCAAATTATTGATATTTCTACAACTTTATAGACTTTGGGTTTAGTCTCAATTGATTATCATAAAAAAAACTAGATTTAAAAACAAAGGAGAGAATTATTAATTAAAGAAATTCAATCATTCCTTTATATTTAATAATTCGAATATAATATACATAATTGTAATTCAAAAACTTGTATTAAATATACAAAAAAAATCCGTATATGCAAAAGCAACAATTAGACTACCAATTTAATTTTAAATCTTCTTCATTTTAGTATAACTTACAAGATATTTCATTTCTTGATTCCCTCAAACCTAAGCTATCCATTTCAATACCTAGTAATAATATTTATGAATACTTTTGAAATTTCAACTTTACCTAAATATTATAGATGGAATATTTGTAAAATAAAGTAAAGTAGAAAAAAAAAAATTATTTTAAAACAGATTTTGCTGATGATGTCAGATTCGGTGTGTCTTGAGGAACTGCCCCCTGGGCCTGTCCTGCTACCTGAGGGACTGAGATAGACCCAGAACAGGCACGATGACATTGAGAGAGACAACAAAAAAGGGAGAGGTGTGAGGTTTAAATTAGGTACCCCAAACANAAAGAATCATCATAGTTCTTCATTAACTAAAAATTTAGGTAATTCTACGTTTATCGCTTAATCATTCAAGAGTCTTAGGATTAATGGCTAATGCCTTATCGAACTAAATAATTGAATCCTCATATTTATTTAACATTTTTAAATGAAATTAAGAAAGTAGTATTGTAAACATTAGGCTATTAATTTAAATAGAGTGAATTCTACCTTTAGAAACTAATTAATAAATATTTTTTGGATTAAGAGCTTATGCTTGATCAAAATAATAATAGCAAACTAGTATTTATTTAAAATTTATATATAGTTCTTTGGATTATTGTTTTTCATTATCATCAATTTAATAATTATTAATTGATAATATCGTGTTTATGTAGTTATTATTTATTCATATAAATTGTCAAATGAACGAGTTAACCTATTTATCTATGTTGTAAGTGATTATTTGCAGTCAAATAATTTGATTTTGAATTAAAAAAATCATTTACTTATTAAGTTTTCAATTAATTTTAAATATTTCTTTTTAATTCCTTTTGTTAAGAATATAAAGATGTATTTACAATTTCTAATGATGTCTCATGTTCATCAATCATATTGTCACAAGCTCTATTTATTTTGTTCGTACAAAATAGATTACAAAAAACAGTTTATATGTTTTTAATGATCATCTTTTTAACGCTTCACTTAAAGTTAGCTTTTTTAGCATTAGAAATGATAATCCCTATTATAAATTCGACCAACTATTTATCCAAATATCAGAATTATATAAAATTAAATCTGTCTTCAGATTAATATTTTAGAACAATTCACCAGAATCCCTCAGGAATTTATATTCCATTGTTTTTAATTTAATTAATAATATTGTTTCAGTAACTATGGCTTTTTTTTAAATTTATTTGAGATCTTTTTAGTCAATTTCAATAATTTGATTTTTTTCTAATTTAAAAAAAGCCTAACACATAATTGAATAAAATACATAGATGGCATCTTTTTGTACTGGAACAGAATGTATTTATAAAGGGAGTAAAATAATATTCTGAAATTAAAATGCACACTATCAAATTATTGATATTTCTACAACTTTATAGACTTTGGGTTTAGTCTCAATTGATTATCATAAAAAAAACTAGATTTAAAAACAAAGGAGAGAATTATTAATTAAAGAAATTCAATCATTCCTTTATATTTAATAATTCGAATATAATATACATAATTGTAATTCAAAAACTTGTATTAAATATACAAAAAAAATCCGTATATGCAAAAGCAACAATTAGACTACCAATTTAATTTTAAATCTTCTTCATTTTAGTATAACTTACAAGATATTTCATTTCTTGATTCCCTCAAACCTAAGCTATCCATTTCAATACCTAGTAATAATATTTATGAATACTTTTGAAATTTCAACTTTACCTAAATATTATAGATGGAATATTTGTAAAATAAAGTAAAGTAGAAAAAAAAAAATTATTTTAAAACAGATTTTGCTGATGATGTCAGATTCGGTGTGTCTTGAGGAACTGCCCCCTGGGCCTGTCCTGCTACCTGAGGGACTGAGATAGACCCAGAACAGGCACGATGACATTGAGAGAGACAACAAAAAAGGGAGAGGTGTGAGGTTTAAATTAGGTACCCCAAACAACCCGGTCGAGCCTAGTTGCTCAGAGGAGGATGTTGAATTGTATAAAGTAAAATACTAGCTGAAAACTTTTACTTTTATAAAATTTTATGTCATTCGTTCAGGATTAAAAATTACGAAACCTTTGTTGCAGGAATTTTATTCTATTTGAATTTTAATGAAATTTAATTAATTACAAATATTTATCGTTATTATGCTTGATAATTAAATTCATTTATTTGAAATCCTTAAATTGAATTTAATTAATGCGTATGCTCCTTTTCAATTGTTTCTTGCCGTTTTTTTTTTAATCTGTAAGAGTCATACTACTTCTTGATTTATAAAAAACTGTCTATAAATAAATTATTATTACGATCTGAAAGCATTAACTTTATTAAATTACTGACTCTTATTGTGTCTGCAAAATTGATTGAACTTCTTTTTAAATTATAACTAATATTTGATATCAATTTACAAAATTCTAACTAATTTTCCGAACTTTGAATTAATTCAATATTTAGATCGTCAAATAATTGCGAGATGCAAAGATAAAATTGCCATTGTATCCAAGTCAAATAATATTGTTACCAAAAATAATCCTTTATTACTTTAATAATTAAATTTTCTGAAATAATCACCGTAAAACCTAACTTTGCTATTTATGTTTGAGGATGATATTATCTATAACATAATATTGAGGTTTATTTATCAAAATTTAACAGTTCTTACTTATACTGAATTGGTCTCCTCAAAGTAACATTTGAATTATTTATAACGGTCATATTATTAATTGGGCCAGAACATAACTCAGAAATATTTAATTTTAATCTTTTATTCTTTTCAATTTCAATTGTAGATGATTTCATGAGAAAATACAACTCATTGCATTTATTTTAAATTGAAATCTTTAATTCAATACTACTCTCCTCATCTTTTAATTTTATTTAAAAGTTTGAATTTAATAGACTTTAATAATGCTTTGTATCTCTAAATTGACTAAAAACATTATTAAAGAATGAAAACCTCCACACTTTTTTCAAAAGAAAAAACAAATGGCCTTAGATAATGAATTATTTTATTCAATTGAACAATAATGAAGATCTTATTATATCACGGAGTGATGATAAGACAATTAAGTTTTAGGTGAAGACAAATCTATGGATATGTTCATAGACTATTTTAGATCATACAAAGTCTGTATGTAGATTAAGTTTAAATGACGAATAAAATAAAGTAATATCTTTTTTTGAATGGATAATTTAATATTAATAATATAATAGTTATCATAAGATTAGCAATGGAATGTTATATCAAGATATCAGTTGATGTGTTTAGTCGTAGTTTATGTTTCATCAATGATAATATATTTAAATTTAACCTAGACGTAAAGAGTTCGTGCATATAAATGAGATGAGCAGTACAAATAAATAGTATTCAAAGACAACAGATATTTCTGTGAAAACTTGGTAATTATTGTGAATTATACTTTCCTTAATAATATATAATCAAAATGCCTGCTTGTTAATAAGAATGGTTGCAATATTAATTTGATAAAGAAGAACAACAATGAAGAATTGGTAACAACTTAATTTAATACTTTTTGAGAAAATTTTCTAATTGGATCGATGAGTGAAGTTGGAGAATATTTGATTACTTGGTATAAAAAGTCAAAGGAAATTAAATTAGAAAATGCCATCAAGACTGAATTATATGTCATATCATTAAATTATTTATTCATTTATTTTAATATTATAAAATAAAATTAACAAAATCTTTGTGACGATGTAATAGGATAGACATTCTGAGAAAGTTCTCCTGGACCTCTTCTAAGTGTTTTAAAGAATGAGGTGGCCTAGAATGTATGTAATGTCATCTTGAGAAGTCGTGAAATGATAAAGGGGAAAAGATTGAGGTCTAAAAACAATGGAGCCATGAGTCTAGATGCTTAATCTCCCTATCTTTTCTGTCAATATACTCTTTGCCTAAGGATGCATTGAAAAAAATATTTGGAGAAAAATTAGAAAGTACGATAAAAATAATAAAAGCTTGTAGGATTTGATATCATAAGCATCGCTCACATCCATCCTCCTTTATGGCTGGCAAATCACCAGTTTAATATAGTTGCGGATATTTTGTTGAAATGTGCAATACTTATATTGAACTGTTGTTAGAAGGAAAAGGAACGCTCATTACAAGTGTAAGAAGGATCACAAATATAACAATGATTATAAACTTCGGATCAAAAAAGCAAGGTTAATGTTTATTACTTATGGACAACTATTATTCAGGTGTGTTCCTGCATAATAACTTGTACATTTTATTGCATTTGTAATGCAGACAGTACTCTTATTTTAGTCATTATATTCAATGAAGGCACTTTGCGCTATTATTATCAAATTTGTAATCACACAAAAAAAATATAATTAGCCAAAGGATAAGAGCAAGCTATAACTTCATTAGCGGCTGTTGATTGTGCTTTATTAAATTAACTCTAAACGTGTATGATATCCCTAAAACAATACTAGTTAGATCAGTTGGTGATTAATATAAAGATTGTTTAGATATACTCCTCACCTATAATATAATCATGATTCTCAGTTTTCATTTAGAATTTTACCTTGCATCATAAGTAATACTAGTGAAACTATATGTATATGTGATTCATTTTGCAAGAGATTACTTTTCTACAACACTAGCTCAGATTTGAATTGATTGCAGCTTATCAGGAATTGCTACGAAATCTTTTTGTATCTTTTTAAAAAATTTCCTAAGAATTTGCTGATTAAAGCTGAAACCATTGTAATGCCTTTGGTTGTAATTCATCTTATTCCATACAATTCTGCTTTGTTGACTGTTTTTATTGAATTTGCACAGGGTTTATTAAAGCTTCCATTCTCTTTCAAGAATCTGTTGCTTAAATTAACTCATGTAAGTTCTTGTGCATGAGATATAAGAATTGCAGTAGATATAATGCTACTTTTTCATATCGATCACTACATGTTAAGATTAAAACAAATGCCCCAACTTTGGTCCTTAGATCCTCCATCTATATCAGCAATAATCAGTGCTATAAGTGTGAAACTTTTGGTCTAACAAATTTGATTTCAGCTACTTATTCTCATTTTTGTGTTGTCAGGTGCAGTTGTGCAACTAATTTTGTCATCTGTTTTAATACTTGTGCCGCATGAGACAATTTTGGAATTAACTGTTGCTCAACTTCAAAATAGATATATATGTGATAAATATCATATCATCATTCTTTGTATATCTTGTAGAGAGGCATGCTTGTTACACAGCAGTTAAGCACATACTATGTAATCCAACTATTGTATAAAATAGGTAATATAGTACAATATCATTAGGTATCTAAAAATACACCGATGCATATTGTTTTGATAACCAAATTTTGTAAAAAGGTTATTGTGGTATTAATTAATGTTTGTGTGCCTACTCTCTTGTTATAAATGCTTGCCTCTAAATAAAAGTTATGATTCTGCTAGTGAATATTTAAGTAGATGCAAAATCAAGAATATTTGTGCCTGACTATTATTGACATATGAATCAGCATCTACCTGTCTAAGTTGCAGGATATCATAAGTATCCAATAGCATTGCTTAGCTTGTAAATTTAAAATATATGCATATTGAAGTCTTTTATCAATGTATTATTTCAGTTTGTTTTTTGAAATGTCCTAACGATAGAATCGATAATAGCAATCTTATGAAATACTATATTAACAATAGTAATATATATTAATATGTGCTAACCATTATAATGCTTGAATTTCAGCAACTTAGAAGTGGTATTTTGCTAACACACTCAAAAAATTTAAGCTTTATCAACTTGTGATTGTTTCAAGTGTCCTGAATACGCATGGATATTTGTTGAACAAATTGCCAAATTGTATTCTATGTTATAAATTTTCTCAAAAAAACTGCAAACTATTTTCCTGATATTTGAGTTAACAGTTCTGTTAATTTTACAACATGAGCTACTGGTACGCTTACACAATACATATCAATTTGGATTAATACTTAATTGAATGCTCTTGGTTATCCTAACTTACTTTTTGCATTATATGCCTTATTTATCTAGAGTTGGGCTCAGTGCAAATTGTCTTGAATACTGTAACAAAAACAAACCAGTAGGTGAAACTTTATGATTTCAGCCTGCTAACTTAGAAGTTTATCAAAAATGATTTCACTTGAACACTACATGCTGACGACTATGCAGGAGCATACTTTTCATTTTTTTAATCTCTCTTGTAGCATATCGACCACCTCTGCTTTAGAGAATGGAGATATTTTCTGCTACTCACTAATATTAGTCCTAATATCAATCTTATAATAAAGTTTTACTTTAATTGATAGATCCATTCTCGCATTTTGTAGTTTTATATGTAGAACTTAAGCCCATCAGCTTTACAGCCTAAATCCATTTTTTTTCTGACGATGCTTTCTCTGCAACAGGAATAATAGTTTGCCAGTGTACTTGTTTCAAGTGTTACTATGGTTATCATAATATAGTTAATTCACCTTGTTAATGCAGTTTATATTGCAATAGTTGCATCCGTACTATTGTTTCTTTTCTTTCTAGATTTTTTTTATGAATATTTCAATCAACAATCTTGCTTTAATACCAAAGTGTAGGTGTGAGGTTTGCTTACCTTAAATTCTTCTTGTTAATGATTATGATCGAAGAGTTTTCAACTCAATATAGAAAATGACTCTCTCTGATTAAAAATGTATATTGAAAGTAATATAAGATATTTTTGAGCATAACTCCTTAGATTAATGTTAAGTGCTTTAACAATTAAATGTTAAGCATATTTTGTCTTACTATAAATAAATGCTAATACGCTTCTGATTTATAAAATAGCCTATACAAATTACCTAACCTGTTATATGAAACTAAGCATATCGCATATTCTACACTGACTTTAGTTTTACATAACCCAATCCTAATAGATGCTTCCTTAATAATAACTTTAGCAGATTTCTAACAACCTTTCAAATATATGGATATGCTAATGAATTACGTAAAGTTTATTTTGATTCATTCAACAAACATTCTAACAATCCTTAATGTATCACTTCTTACACTCTATGTTATAATGATAGAGATACATGCGAATCATACATTCTAATATTTATTTTGGTCCTTTAGAATAAACTCTTATACAAAGTGTGGATAATTTGTACTAGATAAATGAATTATCTGTTGTAATGTTGAAAAAATGCTTAAATAAAATAAAAGGATATTCCTATCCTACTGCTTGAAGTATTTTTTTCAAGTTTCCAATAAATCTGGTTATAATTTGCATACTGTACTTCCTATTCATCTTAACACAACTTAATAGTAAAACATTTGTACCAAATATCAATTTTCATTATGGATGTTCCTATCTGAAATAGCTTATAACATTTGAACAACTCAATTTGGTAGTAATTCATTTGGTGTTTAATTATTTACTCTTTAATTGTAACCCCTTGTTCCACTGTATATCTGTATGGGTTAATTGTTTTGTTATTGGTTTATTAAATTTTTACTGTTGTTTTGTATAATCCCTTGGTAACTACTTTGAAGTATGATACCTTATAAGAGTATTTAAGTATATTTGCGTTTGAATTTACTTTGTGTGATCATGCTTTCCAAACTGTATTCTGATGCCTCCTTTAAAATGTTAATCTTTGTAAAAAATGTATTATCAAGTCTCCTCCTTCTTAACTGGGCTACTTATAGTACAATTGTTTGAAAGTAAATAATACACTTACAGTGCTTTAGATTCTTATTCTAGTTAATATCCTACTTTTATTGATATACATTGCATTATTGTTATTAAATGATATTAATAGTGCTCAAAAAATTGCAATAATTCTCATTGTGTTAGTTAATATTGGTTGGGCGCATGATTTTAATCTCTAAATTTTACTTAATCACTCAGAAATTGCATTTGAATTCCCAAGAGCTATTCATCATTGCTTTTTAATATTTGTATGAATTCACTAATGACTAAAATTCATTTGGTGGTATTCATTAATTTTTACAAAAACTGCAGCTATCATTTAAAAATATATCTCTTTACAGAATTTGCTTTAGCCTATCCAGACATAAATTTAGGGACAGTTGCAAGTAATACAACTATAGTAGAACTTATTAACGTTATATAAAATAAGAAGCATCAAAAAGATAGTACATTCAGTGGCTATTAGAAGGCGGTCAGTTGTTGCACCTCACAAATACAGGCTTAATCACCTAGATGTTGTCTATAGAGGAACCACTTATACTCACTGAACATGTACATTTGATTCTTAACTAATGGCTAAGACTGAATTAAAATTTTATAATGCTCATCATCACCATTGGCTATGCGTGGGGTGTATATGAATTAATTTTTGGAAATCAATAACAATCATTTTTGCTATTGGTCTGGAATAGCTAGAGCCTACTCTTTGCTTTGAATCAATTCGCAATAAATATTGAATCTAATGCAATATTATGTACTGCAGTTAGTGCAAGAAAGAAACTGGTATTTTAAAACATAGCAAAAAACCATACCAAGACTATGAAATACAAATTTCAGCGCTCAAACTGTATATGTTAATACAATTTTATTTTAATCAAGTTAA